TATAAGGGAAAATAATATAATATTTGAGATTTGAGAGAACACTTTTTCAGTAAAACAGAGACAATTGCAATAAGCCATCGACAAAAGCAGTAGACAATTTCTCTGGTGCTACCGAGATTCCGGTGGAAAAAGTTTGAAACAATATGTCAAGTCGGCCGAGTTGAGAGAGAGATACATTTCGTTTTGTAAGTAAATAATATGCTTAGTCGGTAACTTTGTCAATTTAATTTTGTATTAAGTTCTTGGAAAGTATTATTATTTTTATAATGAGTATCTATAGAATTTAAACTTTGATTCGAAACTATATGATTATAATTGAAATGTAATCCCACATAACAAATTTACAATTTGAGTAACAAATGGATCGAACTATTATTTATTATTAGGTAATTAATTAAAGAACCTACTACACCATAGCATAGAAATTGTTAATACGAGTAGTTTAATTTCTAGGTAATAAAATGTATTGGTTTTACTAGGAGTATGTGCTTGTTTTTATTTATTATTTATGTGTGACTGTGTACATAATTTTTACCACAAATCTAGCTCCAAATTTTAAGAGTCATATCTTTTCTATAGAAAAATATTGTCTAGTTGATGAGTAATTTCTAGTGGTTTTCAAAATAATTGGGAAAACCAAAAAAAAAAAAAAAATGTTACAAGAAAAACGTTACGGCGTAAACGATTTTGATATCTTAAATTTTTTTTTTTTGTAATTTGATTGAAAATAATCTTAGAGACCTAAAGTTTTCAAAGAATACTAATATAAATCTTTTCTAGACGTGGTCAAATTTTCAAAACAATAGTTTTTTATTAAGATATAATTTTGGCAAAAATCGTACATGGCGGATACTTGAAGATCTTCACTAGGAATCATTTTTCGTTAGTAAAGTTCATAGTTGCATATAGATATAAGGTCATAACTTTATGTGTCTTACCTTCTTAACTTCCCACCAACAATAGTAGCACACCCGTCAACAGTATCAGCTCTTTTTTCTATAATGTGCTTTTATATATAAATTCAAAATAGTGTTTTATAATAATAAATATTATAAAATATAAATACAAAACGAAAATAATTAAAAATGATTACCTACTGTTTCTACTAGCATTTACTCAAAGGAAGATACTGTTTAGACTAATACGGTTAATAGCGTGGTCGATTGCTATGGCTAATTTAGACACAAATCAATTTTTGAACGAGATACAAAAAAAAAAAATTGGAGCTTATCGGTAATAACCTTAATTCACCATTATCACAATATTTATGAGCAGTTAAAGTATACTCAAATAAATTAACTTCATCAAAATTATTTCACTTTATAAAACGTATAAAGTATAATTCCTATTTAAAATGTTGTATTATAAACTGTTAGTATCAGTTTAATACTTTACTTTAGAAAGATGTTCTTTGACTTTGTTCTTTTTCTTTTAATTGACTTAAGTAATTTCACGGTTGCCTATTCGGGACATTCGGCTAGGTATAATAAAATGCGTACTATGTATAGGTACATATCAACTTAAAACTAAAAGGAAATGATTTATATAAAATAAAAACGAATTATTATAATTTATTAGTAGATAGTTTTAAATGCATTATACTCGTATCTTACACATGACATCTTGTGGGTTTCAAAAATATTTCACTATATAAATCAATAATTATTATAACATTGCATAAATTGGATATAATTCGTTTTGTATTATTATTTGACAGTACCTATAATAGTAATATAAAGTTTCTATTTAAACATTTATAAAACTGCTTTTTTATTTTGCGTACGCATAGCTCATGAATTTATTCACCAAGTGTCAAATAAAAAATACCCTTTTCTTAAGACTACAAACTAAAAGAGGGGTTCATAAATGCAATAGCATACTATAAAACTCGAGGCCAATAATTGAAGAATGCAGACTAAATTGAGTCACTTGCCTCCTATTCATTGCACTCTTTTTCTTTTTTTCTCCCTTGCCCAGGCACCGACGATTTTTACAGTCACTAAAATGCAAAGCCAATTGCTTTTCCTCTAAATTGGATTTTTAATAGCTATGTTACCTTTGGCGTTCCACTGACAACCCCCACCGCTTCTCCCTTTGACTTCAATTTAAATGAAAGACAATTTGAAAGTTAACCTTTAATGAAATAATAATGAATTTTACTTAATGTTATTGTTATTGTATAAACATCTCTATATATATGTATACAAATAAATAAGAAAGAAAAAGAGCCATTTCGAATATTGATTTGTCCACCTTTATAATATTTTTAATTTAAACAATACATAGGTATACAAAACAAAACGTTATATTTCGATCTGAAAACCACATTACCACATTCTACATTTTAATGTTTATTAATAAAATACCTGCAGTAGAGCTTTGTCAATAGAGTAAAATCTCCTCCAACCTTTATTTTCATTAAATTCTGTTTATATTTTCTATTTATTTTTTTCTGCCTATAAACAACTTCTAACTAAACGACAACATTTTTTTTTTATAGCATTATGGGTCTAGTTTTTGTATTGGGATCATTTTTCGATTTTTCTAATAGTTTTCATAATAACCAAAAACAAAAACTTTTAGAAAACACTGACAAATTTACACATTACATACCTACGTATATTATGTATTACTACGTATATCTCCGTATATATGTATACATAACGAATAATTGTGGGATCGGTCCAGTCGTATATCTTCTTTATTGTTATTATTAAATATAACCAATCTATTTTGACATTTCATCTGCTAAACGAAGTTATTAGCAATTAATGACTACAGAGTGTGTGATGATTAAGGCTAGGACCTATATGAATTTTCTTGGTTTTTTCCGTAAGTCCAAATTGATTGGTTGTCAGATATGTCCACAATTTAGCTTATTCTCGATTAAATAGAACCATGTTTTTCTTTACATATTTTTGCATATTTTGAATATGATGCATATAATTGCATATTTATAGATTTTTGAGAAATCTTGTTAATTTTGTTAATTTTAAACTTAAATTTATAATATTATTAATTTTAAATAGTATTTAAAATGAACGTCTATAATTTATTATTGGGTTATTTTTTTCTGTTGATAATAAAGAACTTATCCATATCAGTATCGGTTTAGCTATAATATTTAATATTCTCGATGGAAATTATACATAGACCTATAAAAATATATACATTATCAGGTCTATGAAATTGTTGACAATTTAAAAATAGATTAAATAATAATTGATTATGCCTTATGGTATTTACTATATACTTGATAATATTATGTTCAATATTTCGGTAAACCATTTAAAAAAAAGGTCGGTATACCTGTATACCGACCTCAAATCGGTATAACGGTATACCGTCACCCTTAATTTGAGAGGTTTTAATAACAGTACCATTTTTATAAACAACATTTAAATACGAAAAAACATGCAAAAAATATTAGTTTAAAAGCTATATGTAATTAGTCATTCACCAAAAATACATTAAAAACCAAAATAAACAAAACAATTTATAGAAATAATAAACATTTGTTTTTGTATTTTTTTAAATGTTTTATTGTATACAGGATGATTTTTTTATCATGAACCAGCAATCATCTCAGAGGATTTTAAGTGAATTTAATTTTTGTTTTAAAAATCAAAAGTATGCACTTATTTAAAATATATGGAAAAGGGTTAAAAAATTAAAAAGGGTTTTAAAATCAAGCTTAAACGATTCCATGATTAGAAAAAACAGAAATCAAACCTCTGAGATAATTGCTGGTTCATGATAAAAAAAATCACCCTTTATAAATCCTGGCCTTAGTGGTAATGTTAATTGTTAGAAATTCGTCACTACTCTTTAGAGGTCTTAAATAATATGATAACATTGATAGTGAATCGCGGCCTGCGAAGTTAGACTTTAGGGTAGATACATTTTTAGATGACTGATTTTGTAGTGGTTCAGTGGTTGTATTAGCTGAGAAATAATATAAGGAAGGGGACGTGGAATCCATGGAATTTATGTGCTAACGGCTTCTAAACATCTAAGAACATAAATCTATAGTGCGATAAAACATTATTAGAGTCGTGTGAGAAACTTATGAAACACTGGTGTACATAGTGAATTTCTGTAATTAAATAGTTTTTTGATCACAATATTTTATTTCTCTGGTACTAATATCACCCGCAGCTTGAAGAAAATATACAGTCTTCGTTTTCTTCAACCCATACAAATGAACTTTACCAAATTGTTATTTCGACGTTCGCTTGAATTAAAAACCTATCAATTAATTTGACAAAAATATGTTCATAAATAAAGAACATTTTAACCTTAGCCGCGTCGTGCGGATTTCAGACCCATATCATACAATAGGGAATATTCTTAGCTACCATTTTTGTAAGTTTCGGATTTAAGATTTCGAAATGGACCGTCTGAGAACTTGGCGATAGTTCATATAGAATCGGATATAACCAATCAAATACATTATGATAAAATTATACGAGACTTCAGTAAAAAGAAATCTAGATAATATTGTGTTATGTATATAAAATATATGGCCAGAGTGTCAATACATTATTTTGAGAAGGGGGTTATATAGGAGTGGCAATAAAACTTTAATTGGGACGTCAAAACTCTAAATACGTTTCTGAATTTCAAGTTGAATCATGTCGGAGCATTCATAAATAAACGCTTATCCGTAAGTGTTATTATGACTAATGGTTTAATGGTTTAACCATGACACTATACTTGCCGTGTATTGTGTAATTTATTGTTTATTGTAGGTACATAGAATTTTAAAATGATACTTGTGTGACGTACCTAATCGTTCATAACAACACAAAAATACAATAATTATTTATTTATTGATAATATTAACGAGCGGTATTCTTTGAATACGAAATATGTAGATTTTAAATTTGGATACAAGTAACAATAGGTAGGTATAGTAAACATAATAATAAAAGCTAAAATATAACACTTTAAAATATTTAAACAAAAAGAAAAATGAAAAAATATGGTTAAACAATTATGTACCTATAAGTATAACTGTTCTAGTTACAATATGTATACAATTGTGCCTTAACTATTTGCCTTTCTTTGGCAACGTTATATAGTGAAATATGCAATCTATAATTGTTTGGATTATTTCCTTGGAACAGTTGGAAGCTCTAAATTATTCTAAAAAAATGGGCTGATAGTGGGACAGGTGTGGAAGGTGGAATACATAAAGTTATTTAATTTATATTTATAACCAATGATAACGAAAAACGATTCGGAGTGAAGTTCGGTTATACTTATTTTGAAATGCTATTTTTTCGTCAAAATTTGATTTTAAAACTTTTTTTTTTTTACCACTAAGAACGACTAAAAATTTTCAAAAATTTCTGGTAAGTCTTACATTTTGTCTAAAATAAAAATTATATAAAAAAAACTCTCAAAATTAAAATGTCTATAAATACCTCAAAAATTGCTCAAATGTTCTAAAAGTTTTACCACGTCTAGAAAAAGTAAATATAAGTATTCTGTAAAAATGTTAAATCTCTACGAATATTTTAATCTGAATTACAAAAAAAAACAAAATTAAAAATAATGAAATCATTATTTTGGTAAAATTTACTGTTATTTCTACGTTTTTTTTTTTTTTTTTTTTTGGTTTTGTTCAATTATTAAAAAAACTACAAATAAAATCAAAAACCTACTTTCTTGGTCACAAACTAGATTGAAAATTCAACAAAAAATATCTCTTGATGTTTTTCTATTGTGGCAATATTTCCGGTAGACAATGGAAAGCGTAAAAATAAAATCAAAAAGCTGTAAATATACCAGTGTTTTCATTTTACTTTTTTTCCGTTTTTTTCCAATTATTAATGAAACTACAAAGAAAATTAAAAAAGAAATAACTTACTTCTCTCGCTATATTCCGAATCTAAAATGAGATTATTCCAATTATTTTTATTTATTTTAGATTCAGAGTGGAACGAGTGTGTATTGGCTTTACAACGATGTTTATTTATTTTATTTTTTTTTAACCGTTTTTGTTTATTTGTTGTTACTGTTACATTTTTATTATTTTAATATTTTTTAAACAAGCATTGTTGTCATGGAAACGCATATTGTAATAATTTTACCTTAATATAGCAGACATTGTATTGTTGACAAAGCAACACTATCAACTGATCATCTCCGCTCAGAATCGTTTGTTCGTTAGCAATGCTTTATCGTTGCTTACAGATATACATTAAATTCCCGTCTGTATTCTATCTTCCCAACTTTCCATTCCACCTACAACAATGGCTACACCACGTGCGAAGTATATCCGTCATTTTTTTTATTATTAAGCCACTCATTGTCTCAGAAAATATTAACTTTTTCAGTATGTTTTAGATTTAGAGCGTAGTAAGGGATCTATTGGTTTTACTATGTTTTTCTGTTTGTGAACAACTTTTTTACCAGTAAACTTGCTCCGAAGTACAGACTATAACACCTCTTCTGAAAAATGTTCTCTAATTTGTATATTTGGAGGTAAATTTTATTTTTCAAGGAGTTTTTGAAATAATTGAGAAAAATCTTAGAAGAAAATCATAGGTAAAACAGCAAATATTTTTTAAATTTTTTTTTGTCAATTTACGAAATAAGCAGCTCTGAAATTTTTTTATTTCCATTACTTTTTATCACCCTTGTTTTTAGAGGTGAAACTACTACCCACTTTTGATTTTCAAATAGTAATCTATATAACAAATTCCATAAATAGATAAAGTTTTAGTGAAAATACATTTTGGTATTTGGTGCCTAAAGTTTTAAATTTCCGTCTACCGGTTGACGAGATAGTTAACGAAATTTTTAAGTTTGAATAGGGAGGCGTAGTGAGGCATCATTTGTGTGGTGGCACAGCACATGAAGTTTAAATAGTGTCTACTACTCTCCCGCTAACCAAACTTAAAAAAGGGATTATCTCGTCAACCCGTTGAAGGGAATTTAAAATTCACACGAAAATATGTTTAAACTTAAACCAAATATATTTGTGGATTTTTTTATTTATACTTAGTTGCTATTTAAAACTCAAAAGTACTTTGTGATTTTCCCCCCAAAAAAAGAAGATGACGAAAAATAGCAGAAACGTGACATAAATTTTAAAGCAACTTGTTTCTTAAATGTTCTAAAGCAGCGATTCTCAACCCATGGGCCACGATCAACATATATTGTACTAGGCCGCGGACACTGGTCGAGGGTATAAGCCAAGGGTCGGGGAAATTTTATATTATTTATATTTTTGTAATATAAACGTCTATAGTAATTTTATTGATTGTCATTTGCTAATATAGTATATTAGAATATTTTTGTAATTTGTATCTTATTTTATTATGCGCGTGAGCACGTTTGCGGTATACTTAATCCCGATATTGATTCTCTCATAAGAGAAAAACAATTTCAAAAATCACATTTATTCCGCTTCGATTTTATTTAACTTTAACCACTTGTTTATAAGTTGAACACAATAGCAAATTTCTTTTTTTTTTTTATACAAATTATTCTTTTAATTTTCTTGTACGTTATGTTTTCCTATTTAACGACGCATGTGCAATATGCATATTATATATGGTATATGTACATTATATATATATATATATATAGGCCATACGTAGTTTAGTTTAGAGGCCTCAGAGTTTTTTTTTACAAAACTGGTGGTCCGCACAACTAAAATGGTTGAGAATCGCTGCTCTAAAGGGCGAATTCTGAAAAATGTTAATACACTTTCCAAGATAATGAATGTCGTATATTACGTTTATCAGTGTATATAATTAATATTACGGAATAATAACTAATAACTGAACTCAACAACCTAATTGATTATATACCTAATACGCGAAATGCTATTTTTCCGACATGGTGTAATATCCTCGAAATATGATTGCACGCGGGAATATATCATAGATGCCTTTGTGGATAAAACGCGTTGGTACCTTAGTATTCCAAACAATCAACTCACAGCACTTTAGGCGTGTAAAATATAATGGATAATATTAATTAGAATGATGAAAGTGCAAGACGTGTATTACGTCAGTGGAAGATGATAATTATTTTCATGTAGACTAGAATAGTTTTGAACGGACGATACCGTCAACCTGCCTATTAATTCAGGTCTAACACACATGACGTTTTTCAGTATAACAAGTCGTACGCACGTAGGTACTTACTATAATAAGACTAATTCACTGCATATCTTATTTATAAATTCATATAACATTTTTGTAGATACATTTTTACAGTGGCGCAACCAGGATTCTTTTAGGGGGGGAGGTTCACATGTCAACATAAAAAACGAAAAAACACGTTTTACACGGATGCAGAGGGTATCCAGACACCCAAAAAAACCCCTCCCTGGTTGCGCCAATACATTGTTTTATATTTTTTAGAAATCTATTTATGACGTAACTACGAGGGGTGTCCCAAAAGTAATGCACAGCGCGCTCTAGCTGTCTTGCAATGTGATATTATCAGCTGATTTTAGTATCAGTTTGTAGCTTGAAGTCTAACGAACACGTGCGTTTTCAGTTTTAGTTGTTTTAGTAAAGTATGATAATGTGTGAGAGCGATAACGAAAGTGAGAACAATTCGTCGGCTCACATTTCTGTTTTTGAGCAACGCGCATACATTAAAATCGAAACGATTCGTGGTAAAACAGTGCCTGAAATTCATGCCGCGTTAAATGAAGTGTATGGAACGGATACTGTGGATCGTAGTAGGGTGCAAAGATGGCATCAGCGATTCCGTGACGGTCGTATAAGTATTGATAACAACCCAGCAAACAAAGGTGAAACAAATGATGATTTTTGCTTACGATAAACTTGGGATAATTGTCACTGATCGAGTTCCAATTGGCAGTAGTGTAACCGGGGATTACTACAATTCATTCCTTGTCAAAAAATTGCGACCAGAAATCCGTAAAAAGCGACCAGGAATGTTACAAAATGGTGTGTCCATATTGCACGATAATGCGCGGCCGCATATCGGAGCACCAGTCGTCGCTCTTTTGGAGAAATATGGATGGGAACGCCTCAAACACCCACCGTATTCGCCGGATTTAAGTCCCCCAGACTTTGATTTATTTCCAAAACTGAAGGAACCGCTTAGAGGGATCCGTTTTCCCAACTTAGATATACTAAATGAAGAAGTGAGCCGAAGGATCCGTGAACTCAACAAAGATGGCGTCCTATGCGGCATTCAAGCGCTCCCGAAACGATGGCAATCGTGTATAGACAAGCAGGGAGATTATATCAAAGGTCTATAATATTGTATTTAGTTTAAAATAAAAACTTATTTATTCAGAGCAAATTGTGCATTACTTTTGGGACAACCCTCGTATGTAATTTCATACGTAAAATCTATATCGTCCTTTAGGGTATAATAATACAACGTATTCAATTCGGTTTTATATAATCTGTTTATATATTTTGAGCCACTCTATTGTATCTGTATTATATTATCATATTTTGGCTCATTAAGGGATATTATTTCAATAACGGTTTGGTGCCTAATCTAAATTTAAACCAACGTTATTCAAAATATCTCACACGAAAATTATAGTGACGACGTCAGTATACATGTATTATAGCTTATAGTGATAAGTACCTACAAAAATAGGGGCAATCGCATCAAACTGATGAAGATTCACATCATCAAAATTAATAGGTCACAAAAAAAATTCAAAAGAAATACCATATTGAACCGCAAAAAATATTTTGTGGATATAACAAATAACTGCGTTAAATGCAAGTGATGGATAACTTTTACTGTTATGATTTTAATATAAATGTTATATTAGTTTAATTCGAATTACCTGTATTAATAAAATTGTTTAAATGTTTAAAAAATCATTTTTAATAATAATTTCTTTGGTACACATACATTCTGATAAACAAGCCAAATATAAAGTCGTTTGTTAATTTTTTATTATAATACTGCTGTATTTATTTTAAGGATAGTTACTCAAGACAAAGTCGGCTGAATTTACATTTGCAAATGCCTAGTGTTATTGTACAAAAATGTGCCGTGCGGTTTTTAATTATAATGTATAAAAAGTTGTTCATTGTAAAATACACCTCGAATCTTTAAAATGCTAAACTAAGTAATAAAACAAATGCAATAAAGTTTTTTCCACTTGGTGGTGCTTAAAACCAACGTAAAATGAACTGTTTCAAAGAACTTATAGTAAAAATAAATACCGAGGAACAGTCGATAAAAGTGTATGAATTATTTAAATATCCTTTTGAGATTTTTTTTTTTATAAGAACAAAACCAATTATCTTAAAAGTTTAAAACGGTTACAACAGCGGAAAAAAACATATGAGCTTGCTGCTAATATTGAAAAATAAATCATTAACCATTGTTTCAATACAAACAATCCTCTTGTCCCTTTTTTTAATCTCAAAACTTTTTCAAAATAACAATATACACATAATCTTTAAAGTCTAAATCATTATAATTGATTTTTAATCTAATTTTTAATCTACAATCTAAATTTTTCTCCGAAAAAAATAATAGTTTTTTTTTAAATTGTAGTCAGGGTTGTTTTAAAATAATGATTAATAGATATACCTATAGATGACGTACTCAAAAGCCTTTTCTCAATTATATTAGCTTCCCAAAGAAAAAATAATAATTACAAATAATTTTAATTACCTTGGTAAGTAAAAAACTTTACCTTATAATATGCATATTACTTTTATTTAAATAAATAATATTCTCTGAATTGTAAAAGAAGTTTTTTTTTAAAAAAAAAGGCAGAGATACTTTGCACCGTGGATAAGGTGTGAGCCACTATTCTAGGTGGAAAGGAATATAAGGATATAAGGTAACTTAGTTAATATATTGATATCTGAAAACACCAATAATATTATTAAACGATAGTTCTGATCGGGACTTGATAAACTGTCTAAGGATTTCAAGGTTACAGTATTTGTCGAGTTTTTGTCTTGTAGTCAATGAAATTCTGTATATTTTTTTACCGAAAAACGGTTTTTTTTACAGGAAAACTGTAATATTACAGTTTTCCTAGAATTTTTTTTGTTTTCTACCATTATTAAGAACAGCTAGGAAAATAAAAAAGACGTCCTAAGACAATGGGGACGGGTTTAGCCACTGTTATAGTTAATTTAATGTTTACCTGTAAGCGACAATAACCCATTGCTTACGAAAAAACGGTTCTAAACGGAGTTCAGTTGATAGTGATGCTTTGTCAACAATATATATATACCATATTATAGTAAAATAATTAAGTAGGCTCTATACATTTTCTTTAGTAATATTTGTTTAATATTGTACCGATTTCCCCGGTTTTCCTACGTTTTTATCAGTTTTCCACATTTTCTGATAAAACACCTTCCGAAAATTGAAAAACGACCTGACTAAAGTACCTCCCTAGTGAAATTTCCTTTCAGAAACATTGCTATCATTATAAGTCGAGCAAAATTGCTGGTAGAAAAGTTGTTCACAGAAAAACAAATCGTAATATTATGTAATACTAAACATTTTTTTTTTTTTTAAAGTCTTATAATAGTCTCCCTTCTTTTATTGTTTTAATTCGAGCACTGCATTTTGTTTGTTGTTTGTACAGTAGGTCCACCGCGGGGCCTTTCTTCAGTCGACCGATTTCCCGTAACCAATTTTAAGGCGCCATCTGTTCGTGCAACCGTGAAAATCATATACTCCGTGTATAATATGTATAGGCGAAACCAGGGGGTGGGCTAAGAGGGCTCAAGCACCCTCACATTGACCGTGTCAACTACAAACAAATAATATAAACTATTCAGCATTGACAAATTATTGTCGACAAAATAATAATCATTGCACCTTTGCACTGATAATTTAACGTAGAACACTTTTTGAGTAATTTAACTAAGCTTGTACTAAGCCGCACGATTACGTATGTTGCGAAACATTTTTTATTTCTAAGTTTAGCCTCCCCCTCCGTCATTGAAAAATCACGGGTACGACCACGGACACTGAAATTGTATACCATTATTTTATATATGTGGGTACGACACAGTCGGTAAGTAGCGTAGACCACGGTAAAAATATAAATTATCATAACATTGTAATTATACCAGTGGTTTTCAAACTGGGCATTCACTAGCTGATGTGCCGCGGTAATTTGAAATTTGTATTCCTAATATCGTGACGGGCCACCGGTGACCGGTGTGAATTCCGCTCGTTAAGTATGAAGGCGTAATTCTTTTGACTACGGTCCGTTCGAGCGCGACCCGTCGATATTGTGTAATGTCGGTGGTGATTTTGTGGGGGAAAAAATTGAACAGAAAAAAAAAAAAAATGGTACGTTATCACGGCACGGCGTGAAAATCCGGTGAAAAACCGAGACGTGTGCCGCGGTCGACAGTTGAGTTTTGAAAACCACTGCCTTACACTGTTCCGTGAGGGCCTTCAACGGCGAGTCGGACAATTGCGGGTGTCCTACAGTGTAGGAAAACAATAATAACAATATTCAATAATTCATTCGCCTCCCGGCGGCGGCGGCGCGTGACGGATTTTATCTTTCTCAGCTGTAATTTCCCATTGTTACCATGCGCACGCACGAGCGGCGACCTTATCTATCGCGAACACCGGCGGCCGCGGACGGTGATAACAACAATAATATTATTTAAGTGGTGTAATGAAAAAAAAAAAAAAATTCTCAACCGAATAATTGCCGTATTTTCCCCGTATTTTCGTGTGCGAACCGACGGCGCAGTCGATCGATACGGCAGTTCGCCGTCGTCGCCGTCGCCGCCGTCGCCGTCGTCGCCGTCATATTAACGTAATTTATTATTTCGCACGTTACGTTCGATTCGAGCAACGTACGGCCGAGGACGCATTCGTACGCAAGTGCGCGACCGACAACGGTGGCGGCCGCTCGTATAGGTTCCCGTTAAAATGTAGCTGCGGGAGAAACCGAGGAGACGAAACCGCCTACGAAGACGAAGACAACCATGGCCGTCTGGCAGGAAATAGCGTTTGTGGCGTTTTTCATCTCCCTGCCGTTCCTGTACGACACCCGACGATCGTTTCGCTACCACTTCCGCCTGGCCACGTTCACTGTGCTGGCCGCCCTGACGTCCCTGCTGGCCGTCTTCCATTACAAACACCGGGCCAGGTAATCGCGCGACTGTTCAAATCAAAAACCGCTCGTTCCCCAATGCGCGCCGGCACGCCCGTCGGTACCATTCGGACGACCCCTGCACCAGCCACTACAAACTTAGACGTTTTTCATTTAGACGTCAATTCCGGGGTTAATTTCTTGTTGAACGGTTTTTTTTTTTTCTTTCTAACACCGTGTCGGAATTTGTTTTGGTCTCCAAAAATTACAATCGGATTGTGTCCGGATCGCCCGGTCAAAAACTATTAAATACCCATATTACCGGCGTTATTAATTGAAAATTTGATACAATAAAAAAATAAATATATATACAAGTTGAATCCTGTAACGTATTTTATCCGAACTACTTAATATTACCTGCCTAGACATAACATATTAAATAAACAAAACTACCTAATATAAACAATTTATTTACTCGGGAGCTATGTTGCTTTGATTTATTGTATTTACCGTAATAATGTTTTCGACCTACTGACATAGGTATCATTTATCATAAAACTTAAGTGCCTGTTGAAATTTCTTAGTTATTGTCTATTCGTAATTTATATAGTATTTAAATATTTAATTTTATCTGTCATTGATTTATCGGATAGGTAATTTATTTCCAATTTGGGTAAATAGATAAATAAATACTATTTATCGTTCCCAATTTATTATATTATTTAGATTTTTAATATTTATATAAACGGGCAGGTAAGTTAATTATGAAATTAATGAGTTTTTACAAGGTTTTTATTGTTTCATTAGAATTCATATTGTTAATAGTTGTCAAAAACATTTATAATATTAACATAATTAGGTACACACATACAGTGGATAATTTAAAATATTTCAATGGATATGCAATAATTTTTGATATATCTAGGTACCTTATAATATCAATATGAATAAAACTCAGTACCTAAGTAATTCAGAATAAATAGCTGTAGGTAATAAATATTACTTATCCTTAATGCCTTAGTGTTTAGTTTATTATTTATTTATGAAATATTATGATCTAAATCATAGGTCAATATATATGTATAAATCTGCTTAGAAATTCTAAAAGTAGATAATGTTTATGTGGTGGCCTTGTTTTAAACTAAAATAATATATGAACTCGCATTTCAAAATATACTTAAAAATATAGCTATTACAATTGATTTTTTAAAATCAAAACCTACATAAAAGCATGACGAAAATCTGTATTACAAAACCATAAAAACTATTTCATTATCAACTATGCTTAACAAAAACCTCATTATTACATCATAGGTACCTACATGCAACCTATATGGCTTTACATAAACATATTTTTTTTTTTTATCCTTGTGTTAATTATTTTATAGGTATGAGTAAAAAATAATTTATTTTCTGTTAAAATACATTTACATTACAATACATTTAAGTAGGTACCATAAATTAATTATTTGTTTTAGGTTTTACTGAAGTATGGTATTTATTAATTATGTATACTGATTATGAATATAAGTAGGTACTCTAAATCAATTTACTAATATACATAGCCAGATTGGGCCGTTAGAGACAAATGTATGATGTCTGAGAAAAAATGTAAAGGCGGTGTCAATAAACCACAAAAAAAAAAAACAGCTTTTAGGTTTAGCAATCCCATTTACAGCCTCTTATGGTAAGTAGAGGTATCTTGAGAATATCCTGATCCCCATTCTAAAAAAAGAACTAAGAAGAATATTAACTGGAAAAATGGTTAAATAAGGAGGGAAGAATAATCCCTCTCATAATAAAACTGCTGTGAAGAGTAAAGGTTGCTGAGTTTTATAAAAGGTTTAAACCCACTGCTATATACTGAACATATAGATTTTGTGTTATAGCAATTTTCTGCTATAAATATCCAATATAGAGAATGATGTATAATGAAAAATGTTTATTAGATAGTATAATATAAAATTATACCTGTATGGGTTTGAAATTTTTAGATGCCTTTTTGAGAAATAGGGATTAACTTTTGTAATTCAAATGGCAACCTATATTCAAAATTACATAAATAGATAGTTTATTTGTTCAAATAAATTTTTATTTTGAAGGTTAGGTTAGGTTAGGAACACTATTCAAAAACCGCGCGCCGTGCCACCACACAAATGCGTAGTGTTCTATTTCTCATTACTCTAGCACTGCGCCTAAACTAAAAAGTAGAATATTTCGTCAACGAGTTCACAGAAATCAAAAACGTCAACACCAATATTTATTTGAACTAATGCCGCATCTCTCTATAGAATTTTAAATATGGACTGCCATTTGAATTTCAAAAATTGCCCCCCCCCCCCAAAATCTTCCCTCTATTTATTATAATGTTCTTATAATATTTTATTAACTAATTGTGTGATGTTGTTTGCAGGTTGATTGCATATTTTGGTCAACAGATCTCTGATTTATTGTGTATTGAATGGCGTTTGCGTGGAAAAAAAAATCTTAAATCAAAACGTTCCAGAGTAGCTATTATAAATTACCAAACTGACATTGATATATTAGGTTATTATTATTTTTACTAGTTGTACAAACTTTAAATTTTACCATCATATTATAACTAACATACAATAACAATTGTATTTTGTATATAATATGTGTAAAATAAAATTGATTGAATTAAAAATATTACTAATAGATTCTCTATAGTATGTGTTTTATAGTACATTTTATTTATCTATTTATACTTAAATTTATTTATATTTTGTTTTACAGGACTCTTACATTTGAATTATTTTGAAACGGAGCTGAACATCATCTCGGAAACTAATTTAATCAATTTATGGCCATTTTCATTTTTTCCGTGGTTGCTTTCATTAGCCTTGTGTCCCATTCAGTTTTTCAATACAAGTTTAGAACTACTATATTTGTCTCCAACTATTATTGATTTAGGGGTAAATATTGTAATATTAGGCATTATATAAATATGAATATGAAATATATGTTTTCATTTTTACCTTTAAATTATAACTATTTTTATAGCCTACAATTATATTGCCATCAACAAAAATGTCAAATGAAGAAACTATTAAAATGGCTCTTAAAAAAAAACTACCAATTCAACCAATTGTATATTCCAAATGCTATTTCATAAATAAAGAAAAACATTTGTTTGAGCCAGGTGTGTACTTTACACTATTACATATTTAACTATATTTATATGTTTTAATAATCATACTCCTAAATTATTTTAGGTCGTACTATAATATCTGTAATGCCAATTATAGAAACAGATGGTTTGTTGGAAAGTGATGTATCTGAATTTAGTAACGAAATTTCTACCAGAATACGTGCTGAATACGACTGTATAAGCAAAATAACTGAATTGCGTGATTATCAGACTCCGTACTTGTAGTTATAAAAAATTATAATATTCTTCCATGCACAATTTCTTTTATTTACCAACCAGTTATATTTAATTATTTAAAAAAACAAATTACCATTGTTTTTTGATATGACATGAGATTTATTTACACTACTTAAATGTTGATAATTCCTAATTTTTTATATATACATTGTTTCTTATTTTATTAAAGTGCTTTTCTTTTCGATCTTTTAAAGTAATTAGTTATAAAATTGTATTTTTAAACTGGCTGTGCATATATTGAGTAATGTTTGGCAGTTAAATATTTTGTTTTCATAACTGTGATGGTCATTACATAGTCTAAAACCTAAAAAGTATTTTTAATTTTTAACCTAGTCATAATTAGTATTATTTTAATTTTATTATTATCAACTTAGTCCAAAAGAAATATGAATACCTATTACTTGTATAAATTTGTGTTTACTATTATAGTTAATTTTTTTTACAACTTAATAACATGTTAAATTATTCAAACTGACCAATATAAAAATATTTGTTTATTTTATTTTTCTTAGTTTAACGGAATATTTTTAATTATAGGAGGTTAGTGGGTTGGGTGTGATTACTAAGATTATAGAATCGTGTCTAGTAAAATATACGTCCGATATACATAAAATTAATATTTAATAATAATGCAGACGTTGCTTTTAATATAAATTATTTTTAGAAAAAAGAACTCTTAGTGTTAAGATGTCAATTGTTAAATTTTTCTGTACAATAAAGTACATTTGGAGTCTCATGTTTTTTTTGTATGAACATGTTATAAATATATCCTAAATATTACATATTTGAGTAATGTAAACAAAACAATGAGGTTTTTTTTAAAAAATATGTTTTAACAAATTATTATTAATACAACTGTCAAGTTAAACGTAATTTACAATATTTATAATAGTATTATTTAACTACTGAATTCTATGAATCGAGGAAAAAAGAAACAATTGTAAAAAATATTTGGAAAAAGCTCTGGTGTAAATTAATATTTGTTTAAAAAATAATAATGAATCTATAGATAAATTGAAATAACTAATTTTTTTTTTTCTTTATTGAATTAATTAGCCTCAACGCTAGTGTATACATTAGGATTTTACGTGTTAGTGACATATTTTTCTAAAATTTCTAAATTAGGTTATGTAGGTATATCTGTTTGTATTAAAAAAATGTAGTATTTTAGATACCGAGCCCAGCGAGCGATTTATTGGTTTTACTATTGTAGCGTATTTTTTTTTATCTGCGAACAACTTTTCTACCAAAAATTATTAAAAGTTGATACATACTTACCATAAGTAGAATATACACTGTAAGCAAGGCCGGCTTGGAAAATATCAAAACTCTGTGCAGTTAATTTTGTGGAACTTTGATTTTCTACTCCACTTGTTTTGCTTTTTCGAATTATTGGTAAATCTTTACAATTTATCTTTGTCCATTACTTTTAATTTATATTTATCCAAATAATCGCATAAAATTATGAGCTATGGTTAGAATACCGACCGCAACTCGGACACTGCCGTGTGCTCTGACACTCCGGGTCTATCAGATAGAAAAAGGAATACGTAAATTTTTGACAGACTTAACAGACATATATGTATGTATACATATATATATATAGGTATACCAGTAAAAAATAATAATATATATTTTTAATTCTTTACCGCGTTCACTTCGGTTATTACATATGGACTTAATATGAGCACAAGTCCCGACGATTGTACGCACAACGCTCGGAATTATAGGTAGTAAACAACATTTTGAACGCGTATACGGTTATACAGGTACCAAACGGATAATAACATTTGTCAACATTTTCTACACCACCTTCAAATAATCAATAATAAAATAACATTATCGTAAAATTAATGGTTTTCCAAACGTACCTAATATAAGTACAACGACGTGTATCAATTATGGCCGAGTCAAAATTCATAAACAAATTAATGAAACGGTAATTGCGGCAGCTTAATGCAATTAAATTTTCACCGCGTTCGGAGGATATAAGTCTTGGTTATTTAAAAAAAAAAAAATGATGTATAAGTATAATAAACACACGTGTTACGATCAAAAGCCTTCGCTGTGACGGTTCCCGGTGTTTTTCCCGAAATTCCGTATATCCGAAACCTTCGAAAAAAAAATACGAATGTCAGATTTACGAGTTTATTTGACACGTATTTTTTTTTTTTTTTGCTGTCATCATATTATTGAAAACAAAATTGGTCTGCTGATGTCTGGTTTTTACGACGATCCATACGCACACATTGCTCGATAAATTTGACCTGCCGGCTATCGAAACTTAATAACCTGAGATAACTTCAACCGGCGGCCCATCAAAATTTACGACTGAGATACGATAATATTAATAGCAATGCGATTGCGATTGCGATGCGACGGTGAACTGTCGGGCGTCACGGTGTTGCGCCAGTGCGATTGCGTTCACCGCAGTAGCCGTACCCACGTGTTTTTGTCGCGTTTTTCATAGGTATGTTTTTTTTCTCGATTTTTATTCCTTCGTCGCGGCCGAAATTAAAATTTTTGCGCGAGGCAAAATTAATTAACGACGGTTTTGTTTGCGCGCGGTCCGCATCACCGACCTAACGGCGAAACACAACCACGCACCCCCCCCCCCCCACTGGTAGCGTCCAGTAACCGTTACCGCGTTCAAATAACCGAAAACAAATTTTATTCCGTACGAGAACACCGGACGCTGACGGACATGCCGGTCCGTCCGACGGGGTTCTCGGTCAACTGCGTGAATCCGGGGTGATTTCCACGCGCAAAGCCCGAAGGTATTCCAAGCGTTTACCGTATTGGTTCGGACGCGCGTTTATCGTAATTTTATTTTGCCCGGGAAAATTCGCCGTCCGACCCGCCCGAACATTTTCTGAACCGGATAACCGATAGGTATTAACCGATAAGTCTTCCCGGTCGTTATCAGGAGACGCTGCTCACACACAGGTGATAAATTTGTGATTTAAGATTTGGCTTGGTGATGGACAACGCGAGTGAAGGTAGTCCCCGTTGTGTCCACGACTCATGAAATTCGGAGTTGTTGGCCACCAGCGACGGCTGGTTTTTAGACGGGAGTTATAAGCAGTGGCGTATTTATGTGTGGGGTTGACCCCCGCACCCCAATATTTTTTCTGGTCCTGTTCATTACTGGAGTATCGCGAAATACTGTTGACGAATGACGAAGTATTATAAATAAATAAATAATATTAAGGTTATGTGTATTACACGGATACATTGTGAATATACCAATATACAAAATTACCTAAACTGATATGGGAAATCACGCAGTAAAATTAAGTGATTAAATTTATATACATTATACTATTACGTTTATGATTTATTCCAGTCGTAATTTTAGTACAATCAAAAATTCAAGTAGCGATCCTAAGATTTTTTTCACAAGAAAATTACCTGCTTGTAAAGGTGTATTATAATCAGGTATGAATTCGTAACCCAACCTAACCAGTAGAGCTATGTAAATACGTATTTTAATTGCGACTTGATAAATTATTTCAAGTAAGTGATAAATTCGTTTCAAGCGATTTTCAATGAAATTAACTGTGTTCGATTTGACGTATTTCGACAATTTGTTCACATGTGATTATTTGTATACAGTTGTATTGTTCAATACAGACGTGTATTCCCGTGTTTCCTAAAGTACGTAAACAATATAATACCAATTATTGAACTTAATCTACGGTCGATATAGGTTCGAGATTTATGACCTCGATAAACGACTGGTCGATTTATCAATGCGTGTTTGCGTTTGAAGTACTGTTCTGCGTGTGAAAAATCCGTTTCCATCGAACAACGTTTTTTTTAGTAGTACGACATATGGGGACCGTCAAACACAATGATGGTAAAATATGAAAACAAAAAATTCAAACAGCAATTTTTTCGATTCCGCCACTTCTTCGGGTTATAAAAACTCGTTTTATTCCGATCTTTGTCGTGGTTATAAACGTGCGGATAATCCAATTTTCCGAATTGGAAAACAAATCGTTAAATGGTTTTTTTTTTTTATTTTTTTTTTATCAAAGTATACGGGACTATCAATTCCTAACGAGAATACTCTTCGGGAAAATCACATAACGGACGTTTATTACCAGGAAACACTTAATTCTATTAGAAATATCGTTCGAGATGGCCCTGTATGGGTTTCGACCGACGAAACAGTAGACGTTGAAGGTAGACTTGTTTGGAAATGTTATTATTGGAAAATTAAGTGAAACCTTTTCAAAACCCTTTTTTATTGAATTGTGCACAGCTAGAAAAATGTAACCACAAAACCATAGCTTAACTGATTAACGATTCGATGAGTTTATTATGGCCGAAAGGCGTTAAACACAAAAATGTGTTATTGTTTTTAACTGATGGATTTCATAGAATTGAAGAAACCATTTGAGCTAAATTTTCTTCGGTAGACAAGTTAATTACTGAGGTAAAAAAAATATTTTCGAAAGCTCCGAGTCGCGTAGAAAAGCTGAAAGAAATGTATCCAAATTTGAGTCTTACACCAGAACCAATAATTACTAGGTGGGGGACATAGTTGAATGCAGTCAAATACTATTGCGAAAACTTTGTAAAAATAAAAAAGGTTGTGTTGGCGTTTGATCCTACCTCAGCAGTTTCTATTCAAAAAGCGAGAAAACTATTAAACAAAGATGATATTAAAAATAATTTAATCCATATAACTGTTAATTTTGGATTTTTGGAGGATACAATAAAACAACTGTAAAGAAGAAAAATGGCTTTAGTCCAAAATTTAGGACTCATAGAAGAAGCTTTAAAATGCATAGAACAAGTACAAAGACCATTGGGAGTGGCACTAAAAGAAAAAATGCACAATGTATTAAATAAAAGTCCTGGTTTAAACAGCTTAAAATTAATTTGGGATGTCCATTGTGGAATAAATGGGGTAATATCATAGACTGAGCTCACTCCTTTGGACATTTCAAATATGAAATTTGCACCCATTACCTCTGTTGAAGTGGTTATTTAAATGGTTGTTCATTTAGTCGGCATAAATCTGTGTTACAATCAAATTGTAGATCATTTAACTTTGACAATTTGATATATGATATCTAATTGCTATCAATATCAAGATGAATGATAAGATGAATAAGGTTCAATTTCATAATAATTTCAATTTAAATGTCTTAATTTTTTTTATTTTCATTTTTTGTCATTTATAAAGCAATTTTTAATATTTTTTTTCAGTAATTTTTTTATATAAACCCCTCAAATATCTCTGGAGATAATAAAAATATTGTAACCTAACCTTGTTATAAACATCAGTTTTCTCATCCTTATTTTGGGGGGTAAAACCACAATGTACTTTTGATTATAAAATGGCAACCTTTATTTAAAAATTTAAATGCTTGGGAAAACTGGAAAATTGTACTAAATGTAGGCATTAGTAAAAAAATAATACTGCTTTTATTTCCCGTAAACAACTTTTCTACCAACAATTTTGATCAGATTTATGACGATAGTATTTTTTCTGAAAGAAAATCTGACCGGAATAGTACTTGGGGGGCTTATTTTTCCAAAAAATGGGAAAAATCGGAAAGTAAATACAATATTAAACAAATATTAATGAAGAAAATATATAATGCATATTATGTTATTATTTTACCATAATGTGACATATATATTGTTAACAAAACTACACTATTTACTGTATTTCGCTCAGAATCGTTTTTTGGTAGCAATGGTTAATTGTTGCATACAGATAATATACACATTCAATTTTTCCTTCCCAACTTCTCACATACAACAGTGGTTCACCCACTTGTGAAGTAGTTATGTCTATCTTTTATTAAATTTAAATTGTCTTTAAAATATACATTTAATAAAATATAGGTACATGTGTATATAAAGAATATAATATTTACTCCTTTAAGCCTGAGCTTGTGATGGAGTAGTGTTCAATAATACAAAAAGAATATGTTTTTTTATTTCAAAATCAAATATAAAATATTGCATACAGATATGATTGACAAATGAGAGAACTTAACAGTGAATAATATCTTTTGAAATGTGTAAAAAGAAATTGTAGTCATGTTACAAAAGTAAGTATTATCATTATTTTAACACAATACATGTTGACTAAAATTAAGTATTTGGTAAATTAATAAGTGGGCCTGTACTTTAGTATTTTCCCAGGTTGAAATCTCTCCCCAATCCGCCCCAGGGTATCCTTATCTTTCATAGTGTTTAAAGTTATTACTTTTTACCGTTTATGGCAAGATTAAATTCAAAAAATCATTTAAAAAGAGTTTCATTGCTAACCTTTCCAACTTCAAATAAGTTATTCAAATTAAAATAAAATTTGCATTATTTCAGTTTTAGAAGAATTACACATACTCATACAATGAAATAAAAATATTATTTTAATAATATTCTAAATGTACATTCGATTTTAAAAATTATATTTTATATAAACACATTTTAGACAATAAATAATAACTAAATAATTTATATTGATTCTTAACATATCTATGTCAAATAATAACCCATTTTAAATAATCTCTCCTATTAAAATAAATTATTTTTATGTAAAACGACCAATTTGTATAATTTTTTTCTCGAATGTGATATACATGATGATGAATTTTAATTTTAAAATGGTCGTTTAATACACATATTATAATACTCCAGACAATGCATTTATTTATTCTTATTTTTATGCATAAATTTTTTTACCGTATTTATTCAAATTGTTAGTTCTATGTTCTATTCAGTTACTGTTAACATTTTTTCTGATCTTATAGCCAATAAAACGTGAGTGAAATACATACACTAAATAGTAATTAGGACCTCATAAGCTGTCTGAAAGAATGCAAGTTAAAATAGTAAAATTCGTCATCTCATGCTAGAAAAAAAAATCTAATAAAAGTACACATAATTTATCTCATTCCTTCTGAAAATCATATACCTTCATACTATCATCCTCAAAACTGAAAATTAGGTGCATTTATAATCTTCGCTTCTTCATAGTATTTATTTTCTCATAATTTCAAAATATCACCGTGAAACTAAATTCAATTTTTTTTTTCAGCAAACTATTTTACATACTCTACTTTAATACAAAATTATTCAACAGATGAAATCTAGGAAAAAAAATACATTTAGCCATTGAAATAATAATACATTTCTTGTCAAATAATAATATATATTAATATTGATTTTTTGTATATAACAACTATATAACAACATTTTTACTAAAATTATTATTCGTTACAAGTTCAACTAATGGTACACAATTTCTTTTTTTCTAAATTATTAAACAAATATATAATAAGTAGCCAATAAATAATAATGATAAACAAATAAATACATACAAATAAAAAAATACTGATTGTAAATATTACAAATTGATATTTCACAATAAATTTAAAAAAATATAATTCATTAGCTTTTTGTTCAAGAAGTATAATAATATAGTTGTATCTCAATTAAAAATAAAAATAGATATCACATTATGAAATTGGGTATACGTGTATATTACTGATAATTTACATTATCTAATTGTTTGAAAAAGAAATTGTCAATTTAAAAAATTATACAAGTTATGAATTGTAAAGTTTTAAATTTATCAGTCATAATAGAAATTAAAAAAACAGTGTAAACACAGAGATCGAATAAGTTAGAGAATGAATGAGGTTGAAATTAAAATATCAATGAAAAAATTACATGGAGATGATACATCAATTACTGACTAGAAGGTGAAAATTAAAATTTCATAATTTTTAAATACTGACGTTAATAATACAATAATAGGCATTGAAACAAATAATAATAAAAAAAATGAATAACAAAAAAATTGGAATGTTTAAGCATTACATTGTACCATGTGTATGTTTACTTAAGTCTGATAATCGTTTCATCTTAATTTTAAACAGCCTTAACATTAATTTATAAAATATTATAGACAATGATTATCTAATAGTTATGTAAACAAGCGTTTTAAAAGTTCAACAATTTAAACATTTAAAAGTGCATGACAGTTGTATGGTGCTTTTATTATACGCCTGCCAATGTAATTGTTAAATCTTATATTTTACGATCCATAAAAAGTTAAAATATTATTAATTTATTATTCATCATACATAGAAATAAGATTCTATTGAATAGTTAAAAATGGTTATTTTTATAACTGCATAATTTAACAATCAAGTAAATATTACATAATAAAAAGGCACCTGGTTACAATTAGTAAAAGTACACTCTCCATCTTTGGTTTTACATTCATATACAATAATGGAGATTTAAATATATTAATTTTTAAAAGTATACGATTTACATATTTAAGGCACTAATTTTTCAATATTCAAGTATGTCATATTGAGCTTGTGACAAAAAGTGAAAATATTTTCGATGTCTAATAATAATCATTAAATAATAAATTATATAAATATAAAATTCATAAAATACAATAATATACTGATATTCATTAAAAATGGAAGTTATGTTTTTACAAGTAATTTTTATAATACAAGATTACAAAAAAAAAAAATTGTCATAATTAAACAAAATGTAAGAATAAATAACAAAAATTGCACAAACGAACAATAATTAATTTACCTTTTAACAGTTGCTATGCCTAGAACCTCGTATTAATGGCACTAGTAGTGAAGGAGGACCAGCCAACCTTAAGAATGGATGTTGTAGAAGTTCAGCAGCAGTTGCTCTTTGTGCCGGATCCCTAACCAATAATCTTTCTAAGAAACCCTGTAGCCTGGGTGATATCTATAAAATTTAAAAAATTTAATTTTTATTCATATATTATTTAAGAAAATTATACTATTTACTTTATGAGAATTTTTAAGTTTAGGAGGAGGCATATCGCGTATTCTTCTCATAGCTTGAAGAGGAGGTTCATTAAAGAAAGGTGGTTCCCCATCAACCATTTCAATGACCATAATACCTAGAAAACGTGATTATAATAGTGAAAAAAATGAAATAAAAATTATATTACCTAATGACCATATATCAACTTCTGGTCCATATGGTAAACGGGAAATCACTTCAGGGGACATCCAATAAGGTGTTCCAACTAATGATTTTCTCTTGGGCAACTCTTGAGATACTTGCGCACAAAAACCAAAATCAGAAATTTTCACCTAAATATTATTTAATTAGTACATTAAATAAATCATGAAAAAAATAAAAAATAATCACCCTTCCATCAGTAGTCAGAAGTATGGAATCACTCTTGATATCTCTATGTATTACTCCTTGTGAATGTAAATAAGCTAATGCTTTCAAACATTGTTTGCAAACAGTAGCAATCTGCTCTTCGTCCATTCTAGTATGTGTCACCATATCTGTCAGAGCTCCGCCTTCTAAGTATTCCATAACAACCCACAATTCGTCACCAACCAAAAAACTATCATACATATCAACAATGTTAGCGTGATGATAATCACGCATTATGACAACTTCGTTGAATAATAATTCTCTACGTTGTTGCTTTCTCAAATCCATTTTTTTCACGGCTACTTTACGACCAGTAATACGATCTGTAGCTATACAAACTGTTCCAGTTGATCCTTCACCAATTTTTTTAAAACTATCCAAGTTTTCTCGCGGATCTCCTGGACTAACCACAAGCTGAAGAGCTGCCCTAAACTTTAAGACCCAAAACAAAATAGTTTTGAAATATATATAATCTATTTACATTAACAGTAATAAAGAACAGTTATTTACTTGTTCATGAGTAATTCGTTGTTGTTCATGGTGTTGTTTTGTGGCCACACTAGGAATTGATGTAGTACTTGCTGTTGAAATACCATTTGTGATAGGTTTAATATTTTGGTTCTGATCTTGGTTTCTCGTTACACTTTGTCCAATACCCTTAAATTAAATATATTTGTTGATATTAATAAAAATTGAATCAATAGGAAAATAATTATTTTACCATTACCTTGTTTGTACTAACAATCTGAGCATTATTAATAACTGGGTGAACACGATTTGGAGGTACTGGAGTATTGGCTTGTGATGTTTGACTTCCTGATGGTGAGTCAACTATTGAACCATTAGAAAATATAGGAGGAATGTTTCCATTTTGAACAGATTGATACGAATGTGATCCACCTTGATCAGGTATTATTGTTTGGCTAGTAGGAGTATTGTTCTGATTTGTTCGTGTTGAAACTGGAGTTTCTTGACCAGACCATTCTGGTTTTACCTAAAAAATAGAACAATAATCAAATTCATAATAAAAATTAGATGTATATAATATTACTTAGTGTCGACCTGGCACGTCAAAAGCCCCTGAAGTAGTTATTTAAAGGGACCCTATATATGAAATTTAAAGGCTGTGAAATCAGTGAGGTATTGGGTTGAAAGTCAAAGTTAAAGGTCAATAATATTTCTAAAAATAACAATGAAGTTTGTGTAAATATATATAAATATATACAAGTGATTTTCAGCAATTTTAGTATAAATTTACTAAAAAATTATTATATTTTTCAATCTGTAATTGATAACTAAAGTCTAAACGTTACTATGTATGTTGAATCTCTATATAACAGACAGTCAATAATTAAATGACGATATTTTATAAATCTTGGGGCTCTTGACACAAATACGACTAAGGGCCTAGGTCAGATTAACACTGATATCACTTACATATTTATTGCTGTAATCAAATTTCGTTTGAGTATTATTTGGCGTTGGATATTGAGGTAAATGTTGTGGTACTAAACTTTGGTTCATTACCAAAACTTCATTTTCTGGTAAAGGTGGTGGGACATTTGGATGTTGCCTCCGAATTCTAGGTGGACTCGATGAGCGTAATGAATTTGAACGTGCAACATTAGAAGTTTTCGGAAGTCCGGCTGATTCATTGTTTCGGTTATTAACAGGGTTATTATTCAATTTTGGATTATTTTCTCCGCGTACAATAGTCTAAAAATAAAATAAAATAATATTATACAATGATCTTCAAGAACTTACACCAATTCAGAGTTCCTAATCTATAACGCAAGGTAATTTTCCTAGAATAATATTAATTCAGTTTTTGACTTTTTAATTACGCAACACAAAAAACTAAATATACTTAGGTACATTTTAATTTTTACATAAGATGATTTAAGTTAAATAAAAACTGTATAATTTTATTTTTATTATTTAAATGTTATAATTTTTTATTATGAATAGAACATTTCAAAAATTTCAACACTATCATCATCCAAAATAACATAAAATAATTATTTAAAATGAGTAGGGTAATTATTTACTCTACGCGAGCTGTGCAAAGGTACACTCAATATATTCACCTTTAAATCCAATATTTCTGTAGGTGTAATTTCTGATGGATCCACAAGAGGTAATGGCCTATTGGTACTCTTCAGTATTTGATTGTTACCAACTATGCTTGCCCATTGTAGAGGCAAACCTATAAACTTACCTTCTCGTTTATCAAAACCAGTATGCACTCTGTGTTCAAAATTTGTAGGTGAAGATATTTGAGGCTTTTTCTTTTTCTTTGAGAACATTACTAAAAATGTAAATATTTATTTATTTTAGTTTTTTTTAGGTAGGTAAATATCCTATATAATAAGAGAGGGTAACTGATCTTATTATTACTATATAAAAGACATAGTAGCACTAAAAAAATCACAAAATGGTGTCATCTTTAACTGGTACTAATAGAACACAATTCAGTTGGGAAATCTTTTATTATATATTATATTAAAACTAAAAATAGAATGAAACATATTTTCACTTATTTTATTAGATTTTTAGGTGGTCTTACCATATGTAAATACACATAATATATAATAAAAATAAAATATTTAAAAAAATAATACAAACTTGCTAGATCAGTGAATTATATTTTTGAGATATTAATACTTTTGATAGTGGTCAGTTACTCTTATTTTCTCCCTCCATAAGATACCTCTTACATTTATCCATTTATTATATATAATAATATTATAAATATTGTATATGTATAATATATTGGAGATGTTATGAACTCTGATTTTTAAGGTCGAACCAAACCGAACTTTTAAAATATTTTATCGAATTCTAACATTAAAAAAGTAAAAAGCTTAGGTTAACCTTTACGCCCTTTACCAATTTGAGATTATGAAACCCAATAATGCGAAAAAAAATAGAATTTTTCTTTTTTGTTACAAAGCCACTCTGTTCCACCACAGATCATTGTATTAGTGACCACACAGAATTGGCATGGAATGATTTTTGAACCGAACCAAATACCCAATAGTTCGGTTCGATTATTTGCAATTTTCAGTTTGGTTCATTTCCAAAAATCAAACAATTTGTATATATATATATCTATATTTATCATATTAGTAATCCAAACTAGTGACACATGTGACAAAGAGGCAACATGGCACAAATTCTAACACACAGACTCTTATTTATCATCACTGGCATATTTTTATTACTCAACATTCATATCACTTTATTTAATGAACTATTATCAATCAGATAAACAAGTTAATTTACATAATTAAAATTATTTATTTAACATTGAAATTGAATAACAAAAAATAAAAAATAAAAAAAAAAATAAAAACAATACATTATTTGACTATTGATATCTTTTATTTTTTTATATAAATTTAAAATTAAATGAATAAATTGAGTTTTAAAACTTATTTTAATTTTTAGCATAGCAAATTATTTTTCAGTTATAACTTGACTTCCAGAAACAATATCTATAAGGTCCGATGTAATTTTAAATTGTCTTTTGCGATTGTATTCTAATGACAATTTGTCATTCAAAGTAGTGACATTTTTAGTAGCAGAATCCATGGCCATCATACGAGCTGAATGTTCACACAAAGAATTTTCTACCATAGCATAAAATAATAGTGAAACAGTGGAAAATTCAATATAACTCCTCATATTTTCTTCCTCTACTTCTTCTAAACTATTAATATGAGCAACAGTCAAAAGTAAGTCAGTGTTATATATGGATATCATGTCAACTTTTGAACTACTTCTAGAAACACTATGATTATAAAAAATCTGACAAGCTAAATATTCAACATTAATACATTCATTGAATATTTTTGAAGCATCAATAAAAGTGGGATTATCTTTTCCTATTTTAAAAACTGTGAATAAAATATTTGATTTATGCATTTTCACTAGTAGTTCCTCTGATTTTAAACCAATGCATACTACTTTGGCAAATTTTTGATCTGATCTAGACAATTCTTGTTTAACTTTTTTTGCGACAGCAGAATGTATACCACCACATAAACCTCGATCAGATGTAACCGCAAATATGAGGTGATTTTCAACGTAGTCAAGCATATCAATATGAGTATAATGTTTATAAAAGGAAAGTGTGCCTAAGCCAAAGGGGCGTACTTCTTTCAACAAACGTTCGGTTTTAGCCAATTTCGCAGCAGACACGAGTTTCATGGATGAGGTGATTTTTTTAATGTTACCAAACGATTGCACTTGTTTCTGGATGGCCCTTAAAGACATTTTGTGTAGGATTTCGGAATGTAATGGGCACGGACGGAGACGTCGATACCAGGAATCTAGAGACGGGAAAGGATTAGCAAACATTTTATTAAACAGCATACAGTTTTGATTAGTAAAACATTCGATAAAATTGAAATCAAATAATTTCACATACAAAACGCACCAGCAAAACCCCGAAATTTATCACTAGTTCAAATCGATTTATGATACTGGTAAGTGGTGCGTATTTTTATTTTACCAGTGTATATTTTTCCTTAAAAATCACAAGGTATAATCAATGAAATTCGCCAAATAAATTGGTGAAAAAACTAATGATAATTTATTTAATTTTTATCCCCCGTTTACCTATACAATTAGGATCGGTAACCAGATCATAGACAAGGATGGGACGAAAACAAGATTTGTCTACAAATAACGCACACACGAAGTTACTTCGTTACGTGTAAAGAGGGAGTGGGTTAAACGTCCAAGTCCCTAGAAAATCCCCGAGCCTGTGGACACTACACACCATAAAAAATTTTGGGAAAAAAGCATTAAAAAGTGGATTTGTAACGGCACTTACCTTACGATTCACCAGATGGTGGCAGCGGTTGGTTTCGACAACAACGGTTTTTACAGGGGGCGTTAAATAACATACAGGAACATAACAACTCAAGTAATTACAAAAATAGGAAGTAATTAAAATGAAAAACAACGAAAAATGCAATCAGGTACACGCATAGATATTAAACTATTACTAATGCGACGGAATGGAATGTAAACACGAGATGGAATGCAGGTAGCTGAGGTAGCTGGAATTATTCTTGACATAGATGAATGTAAACGGGTGGGGAGGACCGTAATCTCAGGCACGCGTGCGCGTAGTTTTTCGAAAAGATAAAAAATGTGCAACCTTGCACACTAAACTGCGACATCACCCGTATAAATGCCACAGATCCGGTGTTTTTTTTTTACCGGTGCGGTGCAGCTGTCATATGCATTTATTCCATATTTCCCACAGAGTATATTTCCATAGATAATATATATTATCTATTTTCATTCCATGGAGGTTATCAATTTCCGAATATAATATACGCATATTTTTTAGATTCTGAGTGTAGCGAAGAATGGTAATGGTTTTACAAAGAACTTTATTTTATTTTAAATTCCGAACATAGCGGGGAAGCTATTGGTTTTGCTAAGATGTTTATTTTTTCTCTTTTTTTTTTTTCTAATCTATGGGCACGTTTTTTCCTAGTAAACTTGCTCCATTTTTTACGCGTAGCAACTTTTATGGAAGCTCAAGTTGTCTAGATTGTACTTTAAAGGGGTCATTTTTTGATTTTCTACGCCATTTTTTAAATAAAATCATTTAAGTGGGAAAAAAACGTAGGAAAACTTACAATTTCACGATTTCATTATTTTATAAGAACACGACGACGTTTTATATCTAAAAAAATGATTTAATCGAAAACTCACAAAACACTTTTTTTGTTGCCTTTTTGATTTACTTTCTTACGGTATTATCGCCAAAACTTTTTAATACTTGAATTTTTAAGGAATTTTAATTTTTGGGAGTTTTTTGCTATAATAATACTTATATTGGACTTATCTAGACGTAGTAAAATTTCCAAAATCATCGGACGACTTTTTTTTTTTTAATAAGCGTTTTGAAATTAAATTTAAACAAAAATCGCAAAATGGCATTTATAAGTAAAAAAGATAAAAATAAATAAATAGTTGATACTAGTGATGGGTGTAATCACTGTTGTAGGTGGATAGTAGGGAAGGTGAGATACATAAGTTATTTAATTTAATTTAATTTTTTTTTTTTCTAGAAAATTATACAATCTTTACAATTTATACAAATACAATAATCATAAGGGATGTTTTAGGTATGATGTAATGGCTTGATTGACTTCTGGGAAGAACCAACCAGCGAAGGCACTTCGGCGTGAGTTTACAAATCATTTAAAGTATTATTTGTGTGTTTAATTTATTAGGTCTCGGGACCATTGTCGTTTGAGTCTTCTGGGGGAGTTTCCAGGGATGGAAATGGAAAGAAGATTTTTAACTAGGGGGTTGGTATGATTTTGCATCTGAATTTGGTGTAGTATAGTGTGGCTGTTTCAGTGACTTTAGGAATGTGGAGATCTGTGTGAAGGGTGAGATTTGAGATATATGGAAGAGCGTTAGTTATGAGTCCGAAGATTTTTAATTGAAACACTTGTATTTTTTGTATATTTGATTTTTTGGCAGTACCCCCAGAGCTGTATACCGTACAACCAAATGGGTTTAAGAAAAAGATTATAAATATGAATTTTGGTTTAGAGAACTTACTGAGGATGGATCTGAGAAGGAAAAGTCGTTTGTTTAATTTTAATTTTGTTGTGTGGATGTGCTTGACCCGTGTTAGACGTTAGTCGAAAACTAGACCTAGATATTTGGCTGTGTCTAAGTTTGGTATGGGTTTGTTGTTTATATACACTGGTGGGGGTTGACTGAGACGTAGAGCAAAGGTAGTGTGGATAGATTTTCGTTAATTTTGACGCGCCAGTGGGGGTACCAAGGTGATAGGTCATTGAGGTGGCTTTGGAGAGAGGATTAAACTACATCAGGATTAGTGTTGGAGGAGTATATCACTTTGTCGTTGGCATATTCAGGTATTTGAATATTCAGGTTAGTGGGTTGATCAGCCGAATATAGGTTAGTTAAATAGTGTTGGAGATGAAACTGCGCCTTAGGGAACGCCGGCTAATATTAGGAAGATACTGATCTGATAGAGAAATGGCGTTCGCTTAGAAATGACTAAAAGAAAAGTCATTATGAGGTGGGTAGATGTGATTTTAATTTGAAAAGAAGGCCCGGGTGCCAAACTTTATCAAATGCCTGCGCGACTTCAAGATATATTGCCGAGGTATAAAAACATTTTTCCCAAGGAGCTGGAAATAGTATCAGCTAGAAGATGCATAATTTAATTTAACCATTGAAAACGAAAAACGATGATTCGGAGCGAAGTTCGGTTGTATAATTTCATAAGTATTTATTATTGAAACAATGTTTAATTAATATATAAAATTGTAATAACGATACGCGAATGTGTATTGTGAAGTAATGCACCAGTGTAATGTAAAAAGAATTCCTACGGTTTCTTTAATTAAATCATAAGCCACCAAAAGCGAATAATTATAATCTTGAAAATTAGCAGTCACTAATGATAATTTAGTCAACAAGACAGCGTTGTAAATCGTTGATCTGAATTGTGACCCCCGCACATGTCTCTTGTATACCAATTCGTAGCCATTGGTAAACTGCCCGTGGCCACAAATTGAGATATATTATATTTTATTTGTTATTCCGTGCTATAGAATTATAAGCTATTATCACAGATTACATTGAATACAATCTGACATCTGTGCTATTATGTTTATGTTGTGACCAGTCCGTTATACATTAGGGTTATCCTATCCGTGTACATATTACCCGAGGTTAATACTAGTGATGGGCGTAATCGAGTGATTTTTCACTCGAATTATAGACTATAATAATAATAAATAACTAAATTACACGAGTAGACAGTAGCAGCCCGGACACTGATAACAATTAACATAAGATACGAAATAAACAAAACATGGCGGCCAAGTGTAATCAAGTCTGTGGTAGCAGTAGCCAGTAGGTACCTAAAGGCGCTTGCGAGCCTATTTCGTGTTTCGTGTCGTTTCATGATTTTACCATCATTTTGTGTCGTGTTGTTTCGTAGAGTCGTAATGTTCGCTGATAACCGTGGTTACTGTATAAGTTATAAATATTCCCGCCATACATACATGATATTAATATCATAGACATGTTGACTAGTTAATACGTCCATAGTTAAAACGATAGTACGATATTTGTAGAATTTGATTTGTATATTTAGACAAATAGATGTTCATCTATAAAGAAAATGCATTGGGATAATGCCTTCTACCATATGACGGTAAACACCGTAATGTTCTTTTTTCGCGTTTCGGTCAAACAAATGCCTTGAATAAAATTCCATAAATATTATGTAGCTTATACAATTATTTGATTTTATTGTTTTTAGAGTATATGTCATAGTCGAATTTCACGACAGTCTTCAAATAACATTATCAAATTGGATTATCGGTAAAAATAATTTATATTTAAAATTATTATTATAATATTCGATCTAACATTTAGTTACAACACGATGAAAAACTTGAAATATTCAACTTCACGGTGACGTTTAGTTAGAATAGAATCGCGTAATGTTACCGTATGGTACAAACGGTATCAAAAGTACGGTTCGACGAATCAAAACGTCTGTATCAGAACATTACGCGAAACACGAAGTAGGTGTGCAGGCGCCTTTATTCAGAAATTTTTTTTTGTAATCTATGGTCCAAAACTCCGAACACGAAACAACGTTAATTACTTTTATTTATAGTATTTTGGTTACAGTGCGCATTAATATTTAATAATTATTTCTAGTGATGATTCTGAGTTATTATTACGAGTGATTATATCGAGTGATGATCACTCGATTATGGAAATAATACGATTATGTCCATCACTAGTTTATACAAATTATCTATAAATCTTGTAACAAGGTGGATTAATCTACCATGCCTTGTCGCACCACGGCTATAGATAGCCTATCTACAGCCGTGCCTTGTATATTATCCACCTTAGATTATATACTTATTATCGTCTAAATTTATTTAGACACTCTGTTATGATCAAAATTATTCGCGTAATAGTTAGGGCACATGGACTAGTATAGAGGCGCCGTTGTATATCTTGATAGTGTTGTTAGTTTGAAACCGTCGGTCATTGACCCGAATAAAGAGGCAGTCTACGGCAATTCATCCACTAGATCGCAGTATACATCAACTATATTAAATTTATTTAAATATTCATAGAGAAGAATTATATAGTCCATTGTCTGATCATGTTACACTTATAATAAAATCTATTTCAACAAAATATATCAAACTTAAAATTAACCAGTCTTAAAGTTTTAAATGAAAAACCACCTTTAAGAATGTGGTATAACAAATTAACTCTTTTCCAATGTCAATAATAAAAAAAAAAAAAAACTATATTCTAATTTTTCAATATAAGTAATTATTTTGTCCTAATAATTTGTACGTATTTTAATATTACTTGTTTATTTAATTTAAATTTTGTTATTTATTTATTTTGTTTTTGTTTTATTAGAATAAATGTCCAAAAGGTCTCAAATATAGCAGAATAATACAATGTTATCTGTAAATTAAAACAATACAATAGATATTATTATACTTAATAAAAAATTATACATACAACCATTAAGAAATAATAGTTATTCAGTTTAGTAAATTAATGTAATAAATGAGTGGTTGTAGTTCGTTATTTAATTTTAATAATTGCTTATAGAATTTAAGAGATGGATCGAGATAATATATTTAACTCCAAAATATTTTTTTCTTAAGGTTTAAGTCCAATAAATTCTTGAAACATTAACTTAGTTACAACCATATTTGAAGAAACTTCTATACTTATACTATATTATTATACAATGTTCTTTAACTTTTACTCCCTTAAACTAAGCTACAATCTACTATTACTAGTATTAGTTGATAAATATCAAGTATATGGTAGATTATGATCTCGAGGCTCATATTATGATATAATATAATATATTTAAAAGTTTAATCTCAATGAAATAAACTCTTTCTTTCACTAAAAATGGCCACACTGTAAAAAGAGTCGTTGGTCGTCTCAATATTTATCGATACGGCTACCCTATACTATTCTATGGCAAGGCAGCAAACGGTTAAAGGCTTTAATGATAATAGTTACACCGAAATAGATAATAACCGTTTGACTATTTCAATATTATAACTGTATAATTGAAGTGAATTTGTGAATCACTTTCATATGTGATATTCACAAACTTAATAAATAATAATTTGTATTATTTGTAGAACTAAAACATACGGTACTTATTATATTTTGTTTTTATTATTGTTACATTTATTCCTATTTTCAATTCATGACATACATAAAAAAAATATAAGCATTTATGTATTTAAATTTAACAGAACTTTGTATTTTTGTAATAATATTCAAATCTACTCCATGTTTTGGTCAATATGTATGTATAATTAAAAAAAAAAAAAAAATGTAAAATTCTTTCTTTTAATTTATTTATTAAAAAGACATTTATAATTAAAATCACAAATGGAATAGCTACTATAGTTTAAAAGTAAAGTTCCGTGGAAAATGCATGGACCCACGTGAAATCTAAATGAAGAGTACAGTATAAAAGAAGGAAAAACACTAATTAAAAAAAAAAAAAATACTTTAATAAACCAAACAATGGAAAGTATTTTAAAGCAAATAATTGGAATAAACAGGCCATGTCTGGTGAGCTGACGAAAGCCTTATCCATAATATTCTGATTGAGAATCTAGTAGGCCAATAGGTAGATCCCTGCAACAATAGATGGATAGTAATCAAATATGTTAATAGAATGGATAATAAAATATGTTAATAGAATGGATAATAAAATAACAATGGAAATTACAAGAAATCGTGAAAGTTGAAGGGACTTGGTGGACGTGTGTAAAAGGCTTTAAAGGTTAAAAAAATTATCTGTAACTGTTTTTTGATTGAAAATTTAACATGAGATCTATCATAAGTTATAACTTGTATTGAATGTAAAAAAAAATTAAGCATAATATAATTTTTTTTTATAACTAATTCAAATTTTGACAAAAATTATAAATATTTCAAAACACTTTGAACCAAACTTCACTCGGAAATGTTTTCATAGGCAATGATTTTTGTATATTGATATAAATTAAATTATTATTTATTCTATCTAACTATAATCCATCTGCAGAATCAGCTCTCTTTTTAACAAAACAAAATTTAACTTTTAGATACATAATATTAAATGTATTTTATTAATAACGACTATTAACATTATTAATAATACAAAGATCATTTTTAATATTATCATTTAATATATAGAAGTGATGAAACATCAAAACATTGTAGTCATATTAACATTAATTAGAATAACATTTTATTTTAACTAATTAAAAAAAAAAAAATATTTCATTGCACTTTAAAGTCAAATATAAAACATTAATATAACTAAATTTGTTAACAGCTAAAAATCAGATAAAAAAAAATTGATACTTGAATATTATGTTACAAAAAAAAAAAAATATATTCTTTATAATTAAGTTAAAATAACAGAGGAATAATAGACACAAGATTCAATAAAAACTTGTTGTAAATTATTTTTAGACTTATAAACAAATGACATTAAAATAATTAAATTTACAGTGAAGATTCTGATAATCCGTTCTTTAATAATATTATTCTATTATATGTTATTTATTTTTGATTTGACAGAACGAAATGTCTACCTATACATTATTTATGTGGCTCCTAGCTTCAATTATTCTATTATAAAATTCAGGAGGTATACCAATTTTCTTTAGAGTTTCAGTACTAGATTCAAACATTTGATCTTTAAAATAATGAACCATAGCTTCCCAACTCAAGATTTTAAGTTTGGGTATTGTGATCCAAGCACAAATCAAATTGTTTGAAGAATAATTAGTGTAGTACGGAGATCTCCTTGTAATCTTACCACCATAACAGTACATACGGCCGGAAGGTGTTATAATAGTCGAATGCATGTAAACAGGTTGAGGCAAACTAAATTTTATGAGTTTTTCCCACTGCAAGGTGTTTAAATCGAAACGCCAAATAGCATCAGAGGCTCGTAAACCTTTGAAACCGCCACATAAATACACCAGATTACGGTTTATAGGACACTGAACGCAGCTATAGCTATAACAATTTGGAATTCCTGATTTTCGTACCTCGGAGTCTTGCTTAACTTTAAACAAGTACCATAGTCTGGTGGCCAAATCGAACATATGAATTTTCTGTAGACACAAAATTAATAATCAATTTATGAATATCAACATATTTTTTATAAATTTAATGTTTTAAATATCTTCTTAATATTTTAATGTATGATTTAGGTTGATGCCTTCATTGTTTAGAAAGTCACAAAAAATTAAAAAGTGGCAACATAATATACACTAAATAAAAATCACAATGGGTAATTAATACAAACACCCTATAAAGATGTCATGTATTATGTACATACCACTTTCCTCCAAAAATGTATATTCAAAATGTACAAAAAAAAAAATTGATTTAAACAAAGTTAATAGTCGTGTTTATAAAAAAAATATTTGCTTTCTATAATTTAGCTCACCATTAAAGGCAACTTTAATTTTAATATAAAATGTAGGTGTTTTAAGGATATGAAATTTAAAAATATATTTAAAATGAGATATTTTATACTAACCGAAAATTTGCAGTAAACCTTAATGCCACCTAATCTACTTGCAAATACGTATATTCTACCATCATAGAATATCACTTCGCGGGGATAAATACATTTTCCATTTTCCATTTGTTCATGGCTTGCAGGGTGTAAAACTTCCCATTTTCTAGTAATTACATCAAGTTGGAAAACACCCATTTCATGTTTCTTATTCTGTGTACCATGAATTGAAAAAATATCCGTACCATTTATCACAAAACCTTGGCCAAGTACATGATTTGGTATTTGAATAGCACCAGATAATATTAGCTCTTTAAATCTAATTTGGCCTATTTCATACTGATATGCCAAATCTCCTGAATCATAAATGAAAATTTGATCACAGTTTATTTTAGTTTATTTTTTTTTTTTTTTCTTAAATCTTACCCAAGCACAAACGGAAGCTCCACTCACCACAATGTTGGCTTTTACTACATGAAATAATTATGATTACATTACCAAACAATGTAACTAATGATGACCCTACTTTTGGGAGAATATTTTGGGTCGGTATTATCTTCCATTCATCTAAATCGAAATAATACTGCCAAAGTCTACCGGTCTAAATATTCAAAAGTAAACATTAATACATTAATAATATAACTATTAATTAATTAAACATTAATAGAGGTGAATATAGTAGATAGAGCTCAGTAAAAACTAGGATTGGAACGTACAATACAGTAATGCATAAAAGTTTTTATATTATTATGCGCTGAACAGCAGCTATTGGGTATAATTTTTATATTAATTGTTAATGAGTTTATCTATCAGTAACATTAATTTTTAATTTTGTTTTTATTTATTTTACAAGATATATACAATATATACAATCAAGCACAATAAGTATATGTGTAGTAGGGAATAAAAACATTATTAGAATTACACAAATTAAGAAGCCACCCATTAGTGACACTCTTAGAATTTTTATTATAAAAACATTAAGTAAAAAGATTTAATAAGGTTTTTATGAAGGGTCAAGTAAGAAATAATGGATGGATTATTTGTAATTTTATAAAGTATGATATTTTGTTTAAATTTGATTTTTTTAGATGATTCTCATAGCTGAATCTCATACATCTATATGGGTTTAAATAGATTTATATATTTATTTTTGAGAATATTTTTAGTGATCTGAAACGAGTATTGAGTATTAATAGTCTTTCTTAATATGAATTTGCCAAGTTAGTCTTTTATCAATGTTTAGACCTAAGTATTTCAGTGTTAGGAGACAGGATAAGTAGATTATTAATGGTAATATTTGGAGAAAGACCATGTTCAAGGTGAATTTGTATGCACAGATTTGTTGTGGTTTAATATAATTTGCGTAACATTTAAAAAGTAAATATGAATGGAATTGTAAATTTTTCTGAGGCACTTAAAACATCCTTGAGAATAGATAGATAATATGACTTTATCATCAGTATTGTCATCAACAAGAGTATGTCAAGTAGAGGGTTGGTAAGAAATATAAATATTGAGGTGAGAAAATATCTTTTTGAGGAACTCCAGCGTTAATTACAGCATAACTGGAAGAACCATTTTATATGTTGATATTATGGTGGACTGTAAGACATGATTTCATTAATAGAAATAGTGTAAAAAGAAATTTTTAGGATTTCATATACTCTGTTAAAAGCCTGAGAGGTGTCTGAAAAGGCATAAGTATAGTAAAATTTAAAATTTTTAAATAATAACAAAAAAGGCATTTGTTTTATTTTTATTTTAAATTTAAATAAATTCACCGAGATAGGTGTGATTTGTATTAATTTATTTATGTTTGAAATTTGATGTGTAGCTGAGATGGTATTTTATTTACAATATAAGGTTTTCATTAATTTGCCATTGTTTATTTAGGTATTTTCTAGTCAAACTGAAATATATATAAACAGTGAATATCTTAATATTAATGATACAGAATTGAAAATCTTAACACAATATTAGGAACACATTACATGGAATAAAAATAAAAACAAAATTAATGGATATTAGTTAAAATTGATATAGTGATTATTGAATTGGTAATGCATTTCATAAAAAAAAAAATGTTTTCATGTTTTAGTACCTACAAAAAAAAATCGTTATCTGTATGGTCTTATAAGTAGTAGTATTATTAGGTACGTAAAACGTATAAACGTTTTATAATCAAGCGAATATAATACACGTTTAACCCTGGAGAAAACAATTTCTTAAGCACTTCTTAACGCATTAAATTATAGTATATAAGTAGATAAAATTTAGAACAACTATATTTGAAAAAAAGTTCTCTTACAGCTGCTATAGGATTAATACCAACGTATGTGATCAAATAGGCATCATTACATAACAAATGGTGACCGATTTTTGATAATGGCATTTCAAACGGATCGTGATTTTGTTTTAACACATTAAACTTGAATGGTTTGAACTTATACATTGGAAAGCTGGTGTTCGTCATATTTTACTGAATATAACATGTAAAGTTAAATGCTCATTTATAAAAATTAATCAATTTCTTCTTATACTGAATGAACGACGACGACAATCAACGGGGAATCTATTTCTTCAATCTTCGGTTAAGTTTTTGACGAAATTTTCACAAAAGGGCAAATACAACTATTGAAACGCTATCTGTTATAGAAAAATAACACTTGTAACACGATAATAGGCGTGTTTTGGCGATGCAATTTTCTGTAAACAGTTTGTTGCATTGTTTGTTGTTGTTTGCAGTGGTGTAGTGGGGGGTATACGCGGGTACACAGTGTATACCCAAAACTAGTGATGGGCGATAACGAATAATTTCTACTGTGTCGAATAATATCCGATTATTTATATGAACTGTCACAAAATTTATTCGAATAACTTATTCGTTTGTGTTATTCGTATTTTCGTAGACTTTTCGAATAATTTATTCGTTAGTGATTTATTCTTTACTTGGAAAAATAGTATTATTTGTCAATTTATTTCGAATTGTTTATAAATAGTATGTGTTCGTATTTCTTGAATCACGGTCGTTTCACTCGTCATGATTTATCGCTTATTAAATATTATTTTCCATCAAAACAGGAAATTATAAAAATAAACGTTGATGATTACCTTGTCAATTTGATATGTATATTGCTCAGAATCATTTTTCATTGTAACAATTGAATCCAATATACATACCTTATCAAAACCTAAAAACCTTTTTGTTAAGTATAAACATTTTATTCGAATAAATAATAAAAAATATAGAAAAATTATTTTGTAACAATACTCGAGTATTTGAATGATTCGGATGAATAGATTATTCGAATAAAAAACTATCGAATTAATAATAATAATTTGAATAATCGATAACGATTATTCGAATAACTTATCCGAAGGAACTATCGAATAATTCGATAGTTATTATTCGTTACCGCCCATCACTACCCAAAACGATGAAATTCTTACGTGCGTATAGGAAAGGAAAAAAAAAATACAAATACGCGGGTATGCGATCGTAGCCTATTGGATGATAACCGTAATATGTATATAATTTGAAAATGTCTAATTTTTTTTTCAATCTCGTCACTCCAAGAGAACTAGGGTATCATATTAGTTTGATTTTGATAATAAATCCAACATGTGTAAGTGGATGTTTATCCACACTCGAATAACTTAGATGCTTACAAATGGTCGAAATTAAAAATAATAATAATTTTTAATCTTAATTAAATAACATACATTTTTATCATAGAAAATATTCAAAATGTCGTTTAATTATTTTTCGTTTGTTCAAAACTGTGTCGGAATTATAACAAAATTTGCACGTTCTTTCAAATTTTTCAATTTTTGTCAAGATATCGACGTTCCAACTTCCGAGTTTTCTAATTCAACATTTTCTGATTAAAAACAATAATGAGAAACATACAATTCGATAATCAGTAGTTTCGGGCGATTAGGCTGAAATACGTTCAGTCGTTTTATTTTCGGCTGCAATACTGATGGGCTGTTTTATAGCCTCCCCGCGGGTATTCGCAGTCGTCATAAAATTGATGAGATTTTTTTCTGATTCAGTTTGAAATATTGCCAACGTTGAACAGCAAAATGTTTGTTGGACATTTTCGTTATCAAAAAAAAATGTATCAATAATGTTTTTATTTTTTATTGCGTCGGTTTTCTTTTTAAAATTATATACATATATGTATTATAATAATTTATGTACAATGGAGCATTTGATTGATCGCGATTGCATGTTGCCAGGTTAGGATTTATAATGCCAAAATATCTAGAAATGATTTTCTCGTCTATCCAAGCAAATCACAAAGACATTAATTTACGAATGTTCAAGAATAATGATCAATTTTTCTTTTTCACAGCGAGTAATCGGGCGACATCGTTGAATATGTCGCCGGCTTCGTTGTTCGTAAACCAGGGGTAACAACTAAATTGACGCGGTCGCGTGATTGTAATCGTGACGGTTGCGCCCGAGTTTTAACCCGGAAACCACACTGAATCCGACCACGTTGAAGGACCACGAAACAGACGAAAAAAAAAAAACGACTCCGGTTCAATCGGTAGATATTTGTATAATACAACCGACGGTGGTCAGCGGTCAGTTTTGTGCGCGTCGATCCGTCGAGACGTTAGAACCCGGACAGATAGAGCAGCGCTACGTCACCGGATCCCGCGGCGGCGGCGTCCTATGCTTTTCCGCGGGTATCGCCGACGATCGGTCCGGGATGTTTGTTTATAATATCTGTTTCGATTCGCTAATGAATGACTCCGCAGTCACAACAATGAATGGCCGCGTGAAAACACCCGATGCGGACAATTGGGTTTTCGTCCGAAACACGAGACGCGCCCCAACGTATTTTTCCAGACGCGCTCGTTGACGAACGCAGATCAGCCGCGTTTTACATTTTTCGTAAACAAAACGTAATTGTCAAATTTTATATTTTCATCGTTGGGATCTTGTTTCACGTCGTGGTGAAGTAATGCGTTACAAATCATAATATGATAATGAGTCGTTTTTATTTTGTCTGTTAATTAACATTAATTTTGTTGATTGCATACATATTTTATACGCGGTTGAAATAGTTATCGAGTATTTATGTTTACGTTGTATTATACAGTGAGAAGTGCTCTCGCATAAGCAAAATGCGTTTTGTAACAATTTTTTTATTTGTTTTTGATAGCGTATTACGAATATTTTAACATGTCAATACGTCCGTGTAGTTTTGAGCCCACTGTGAACGACATATTGATATGGTTGATATTCAGTGGGGTACAAATGAACCAGATATGCGAGTACGATTAAAGGGTCGTTCAAAAACGATTGTAAACGATTGGTGTTTAAGTAATAAATGTGTTATGTTTACTACTGACCGAGAGTGTGTTTATTGTTTCGAGTTGGAAAAATTACTGCCACGTAGCAACCGAAAAACCTGTATAACGGGGATAAGGTCATTTTCAAAAATTACTTCAGACGAAGAAGTAAGTAATGCATAGATTAGGTACCTACCTACAGTCGATTGAAGAAATACGTTCTGAAAGATTATTCACCACAATAGTACAACACAAGCTTATTGCCCCTAACATCCATCATGGTAGGCAATACTGTGCACACGTGACCAATTTCAATTTCGGATATTGGTTTTCTACAATTGGCAATAGTGGCATATTGCGTTTTTATTGGTTGTTTATTGAGATGTGGTATTATCCTAAAAGAGACACCCCATCCCAGACTACGTATGGATCACAATTTGGTACCGGGATGATACCACATCTTCTACAGCCAATTGTGGCCCGTGCGTAGTCTGGGATTGGGTCACATTTCCTTAAACCATGGAAGAAAAAATTAAAACACTTATACAATCACAAATTACGTCAATTTTAACTAAATTGAACATTTTTAAACGGGTATCTAGAATTATTAAATGCACAAACATGAAATATATTATGTATTTTGATTTTATCTTGTTTAATGTTAATACGGTCGTAAATATGGCACCTAGAGACCAACGGAAAATGTACGTAATGTAGGTATTAGTAAAAATATATTATGGCCTTTTCTTTCTGTGTACAACTTTTCTACCAGCAATTTCGCTCATATTTAAAATTATAGCTCTTTTTCTGAATGGAAATCTGACTGGGAAGGTACTTTAGGGAGGTTATTTTTCGATTTTCCCAAGAGTTTTCTCAGTAAATGTGAAAAACCGGGAAAATCGGTTCAATATTAAACAAATAGGTATTATTAATGATAATATAATATACTGCCTATTTATATAATATGCATAATATATCGATGTACTTAAATTGTAATAATGATTAACGAATATTGTACATTTAATAACTATATTTTGTTGACCGAAGTTGTTGTCAGGGGGGGGGAATGAAATTCCAGGGGGGCATTTGCTTCTTTAGAGTATACAATATACCTGGGTTAAACACTGGCACCTACCATATAGTATCCGCTACTTACAATTTGTTTCTATACCATAAAATAAGTTTTAAGATGTATGTTAAAACAATTAGGTATACCGTATACAATAGAAAAAGGGATATACTTCGCACGGTAGGTTGGCCTCTATTGTAGATGAGAAGTTGGGAAAGTAGAGGGGAAATTTAATATTTGTCTGTACGCAACGTTGCTAACGAAAAACGATTTTGAGCGGGATTCGGTTATACTTGTCCCTACGTTTTGAAAGTCAGTACCTACTTAATATTTACGATTTGAAAATAATAAATTTAGTAAATTTTCCCGTTTTTCTCATTTATTATGAAAACCCCTGAGAAAAAAAAAATGTCCTTTCAGAAAAGGTTCTACGCTTGAAAATCGGAGTAAAATTTCTTATAGAAAAGTTGTTCACAGGAAAAATAAAAAAATAAAGTAAACATTAGGTACTGTAAAACCATTCCTCATTTCACTCATAATTTAAAATATATTTCAACCGGGGAGGGGGCTCAGAGTTTTAATTATGGTGGATAAATTATTTTGCTTCCTCCCTAGATTTGCGGTACCCAGTTACGCCACTGTCTACGACAGTTAGCTATGTCTATTGTCTATATAGTATATAGGTTTTCCAGCTAAATCCATTGTGTATTACACTCACGATTATACTGTATTATGATTTAGGGTAGCGATTCTCAATCTGTAGTACTCTTGTAATATAAAACCAAATCGGAATTATTATTTAGATTTTTTGATATTATCCAATTTAACAAATACCAACACAGTGGATCGGTTGTTTATAATTGTAGCAATTTAGTCATTTAGATAATGACAATTATTATTTTAAAATGATATAAAATCGATAAAGCGTATTCTTATTGAAGAATAACAAGGTTTTACATTCCTCCGTTCAGTTTATTCATCATCAATGTCACGTGAATCGTTTTGCAAATAGGTAGGTAAGTAGGTAGGTATATTCAATATGATTACAATTTTGTGTAGTTTGTTTCATATTTTATATATTGGTGAGTAATAATAAAGAGATTTTTGGAAAATCACATGTACTACAAAAGAAAGAACATTGTCAAATCCAAGGTATGACGAATAATGGCAATTACATATGATTCGGAAAATGTTACTCAGTTATCTCAAAGTATAAAGGCATTTTATTTATTTAAGCTATATTTATTAAAGCTATTACGCTATTTAAGCGATACCAGTTATTTAAGCCCTTGAAACATATTAAAAACTTTAATAGAAGTATCAAGAAAATTTAATATTTAATTTAGCAAAGGAAAACCATTAGCTACTCATATTATTGGAGAAACACTAGTGTTGTCTACAACAAAGAAATTTATGGTAACGGTTAAATTTTTGACAAGGAAAAAATAAATTATTAAGTCAACATTTGTAGATGACACTTGGATATAAAAACATTATGAAATGCTGATCTAAGGTGTTTACTCACAGGACAATTTAATGTAATAAAAACAATAAGACAATTTTGTATTCATCCTATAGATATTTTGTATTAGCAATTAAATATATTTGATATATTAATAGGATGATCCATCTTATTTTACAAGTTAAATAAGTAGTAGGAGCATCTTTTATAACTTTCAAAAAAATTATTAGAAGATGAAATTATGTTATTTCTTAACTTGCTGGGTATTCATATGCTTTTAGAAATAATAAAATGTTTTCAAACAACTTTAAAAGATGAAAACACAATTTTGATATTAATGAATTTCATTGTTATTATTATTATTTTTTTTACGTGTTGTGAAGAAAAATAATAATTGTTATCAGGATATTTTTATATAAGAGTAAGAAAATGCAACACTAGGCAATGGAATGAAAATGTAATAATTAAAAAATATCTGAAATAGTCAACGTAATGCATTTAAAAACATAGTTAAAGAATTTTTAACATAAATACATCATAAAATAAATAAAATTATTAACAATTAATATTATAATATATATATTTATATATATATATACATATATATATTTATATATATATATACATATATATACATATACATATATATATATATATATATACATAATAAAAAAAACTATATCAGTCAGTTTTGTAGTATACATAATAATATTCAATTGAACTAATTACAAATAGACTAACTAATTTTAATTTGCTACTAAAGAAAATTCTTAATGCCATTAAAATCACAAACATAAATTTAATCTAAATAGCAGTCTTTAAAAAAATAATTTTATAACATATTAAATTTACAATATTATTACAGCTGTAATATTAAGAAAATGAGTAATTATATATGTTTTAAATTAAACAAATTCAAATATAAATTTGTTATATGTTATTAATAATTTTTCACAACCATACACACACATGCACATTGTATAAGTGCAATATATTTGTGGGTGTATGATGTTTAAATGGCTATATTACTATAAATAATAATTATTATCACAAGTTACTACGACATCAATTTAGTAAAAATTATTAACTGTAAGGTACTGAACGGATTATATATTAATAAAAAAATTTTGAAAGATATGCAAATTCATTATTAGATATAATAAATTTGTACATAATCTATAAAATGAAATTATAGAGAAGAGGCCAAATATTTTGTTCAACGAGTTTATAATTTTTTACAACTATTAAACCATTTTAATATGATCTGTTGATATAATAGTAAAATATCTATGCATTAAAAGACACGTATACATTGAATAAAATATGTTAAATAATTCTAAACTTAACTTCTTGTGCTTTTCTGATTAACTACTATTAAATATATATTATAACAAAAAGCTAATATAATGGTAAGGTTAAGGTTCATAGAAAATTTTAAATCTAGATGGCCACATAATATTGGCTTGTAAAAAACTATTCACTATATATTTTTATTGTTATAATAATTGTTTTAAAATGAAAAAAATATTTAAAATTTTTATTATTTATAATTGTCATTTCGTAAATAAATTTAAAAAAAAAAATCCATTACAAATAATAAATATAATAATAATATTATACACTTAAACAACAAATACAATCTTCATACAATTGAAAATGAGGTATCAAATTAGTTTCAAATATAAACCCCGTAATTTAATAAATGTATTTTAGTTTGTTTATGGTATTTATTTACTATTTAAACACTTGTTGCCAAACTTAAACGTCTTTTAGATGGATATAAAACATCACCTTCAATTGCTGCACACCTAAACATAATAAAAATCAACAACATATAATATTTAAATAAAACAAAACTATATTATAAATACTAAAATAATCTGATTAACAATTAAGAAAATTGTATATACAGTTTTGCAGTTTATAATACAAGATGATCCATTTAAGTGAGCCACTCATTATCTCGGAAAGTATTAACATTTTTCGGACTTTGATTTCTAGAACATTTAAGAAACAAGCAGTTCTACAATTTTATATGTATGTTATTTTTTGTCATCCTTATTTTAGGTGGTAAAACCACTAAATACTTTTGATTTTTAAATAACAATATACATACAAATTTTATAAATAAAGTATTAATTCGAAATAAATTTTAGTGTTGAAATTTTGGATTTCTGTCAATCCGTTGACGAGATAATCCATTTTTAAGTTTGTGTTCGAGGAGAGTAGTAGAGTATTATTTGTGTGGTGGAACAGTGTGTAGTTTGTTAATTATGTACCACTACTCTCCTCCAACCCAAACTTAAAAGTGGAATATCTTGTCAATGGTTTGACGGAAAACAAGTGTTAACTCTAAAATTTATTTCAACTAATACTTAATCTCTTTATGGACTTCCTTATATAGGTTGCTATTTGAAAATTAAATGTAGGTAGCGGTTTTACTTCAAAAAACAACATAAATATAAAACTGTAGAGGTGCTTGTTTCTCTAATGTCCTAGAAAACAAATTCTGAAAAAAGTTAATACTTTCAGAGACAATGAATGCACTTCAAATGGATCCTTGTATACAAATATATATAGTATACAAATTATTCATTAAACATTGAAAAAAAAATTAACTTTGATACTTTTTTTTAAATTAAAATTTAAAGATGTTCCAGGTAGATTTTGTTACAAAACTGGGTACTGAATACTGGCTGAGTAAAATTTTTAATACTAACCTAAATAATTGATGATAAAATATTTGAATGTTCAGTAATTAACTACAGTAAAACAATTCTAGATGAGCAATATTTGTTAGATTATACTGTATTTTAAATAACCAAGTAAATACATTTTTTTTATGAAATTGCGTTCTGAGTTATGCTTAATAAATAGTGTCTTAATTATTTAAGATACAATTAAAACTCCAGAACATTATAGGAATAATTATGAAATTATGTATATTACTCTTAATGTAATAGATGACCTTACAAATAATAGTTAAAGATAAAATGCAATGATCATAATTATTCATATACGTTTTAAACAATAATAAAAAAATAAAATTACTTCTGGCAATTTGAAGCTATGGTCATTATCTTATTTTTGTGATTATTCAATAACTTTTGTTTTCTTCTATATCGTTCCATTTTTTTTATTATTGGATGAACAAATAACAATAAACCAGATATGGCGATGAAGAAACCAGCTAGATAAAATGATAAGTCATAACTTTTTGTTATATCATATAGGCCACCTAAAAAAAAAAAAACAATGTATTCATTTTTATGCAATACTAAATTATCAATATATTCAAATCAGGCATTACTGTTTTTTGATTATATAACTAACCAGCTAAAGGTGGTCCAATCAAATTAGCAATTCCTTGCACCAATAATAAAACACCATAAGCATTGGTAAATCGTTCTAAAGAAATGATTTCAACTAATATAATTGAGGTGAATGAGTAATTTGCAGAAATGAATAGACCAAAGAAACCAGACAAAACGCCTAAACTTAAATAACTACCAAACAGTGGAACTATTGCAATAACAAAACCACAGAGCACCATTGAGACTGCATATACCATGTTTGCATTAACCCAAGCTTTGTCTCCAGCCCAACCTAACCATATCTAAAGAACAAAATTAAAACAAAATTGAAGTCATTTAATAGTTTTAGTCATCTATATAATTTTATTTACCTCTCCAAACATATTCAGTATTCCAATCAAACTGATTAGGTACGATGCATCTTCATCAGAATGTCCTTTCATAATAGCCAAGTCAGCAATGTAAACATATGGTACATCATACCAGGTATATAAAAGAAAATTTGATATGGCAAACAATAAGAATGGTATATTTTTGAAATGTGAAAAATCCATCATATCAAGCAGTAGGTACCACAATTCCCAGAGTCCAGCTGACCACTATTTTTAAAATTTATTAAAAACATGTAACATATAAATCACATTATTTATCATATTAGTTGTTATACTTCATGCTTTTCTTTGGCAATTGTTGTCATAGAGTTCCGATATATATTTGGACAAGAAGAAGCTCTTAATCTGTATCTGTTTATATTGAGCATAGCTCCTCTATATGTTAATGAATGCCTGTAATAAATATTTCAAATAAAACTAATTTGATAATTTAATATTTTCCATTTTCTCCCTCACCTCCTCTCAAACTCTCATTAATTTGGGATCAGTCACATTGGTCCTAAATGTCCACTTAATTCAGTCTGCTATATTATCTTTAAATATTTCCGAGTCCTAATAATACACTCTTAATTGTGTATTTTTTTTTGAGCCGTTTCTTTTTAGGTATTTCTCTTTTCCTCTTCCATCTACATTCAATTATAAACCTTGTCTTAGAGCCTATGGCTCATCCATTTTTATCACATGTTCAACACACATCAATCTATTCTCTCTTATCATATCAACCACTGAACTATGCTTTCTCTAATAAAATCATTCCATACTTAATTCTCTATAATTATTCTCATTCAAAAAACACTCTTATTCAATTAATCTATATTTAGACTACTGTCACACATTCTGTACCATACAACATTTATGCTTTATCCAAAATGTTACAAAATTCACTCTTCAGCCTAAATGAAATACTCACCTATGAATTTTAATATCTTGAAGGTATGCAGTTTGAAGACGTTTAACTTGTTGGTTGCACTCTTTTTTCATCCACCAATTATTGTAATCATTGTTTTTTAAAACAACATTCGTACCATTGTTTGTTTGTACTACATCTACTTTATCACATTTAGCATTATTAACTTCTAATTTACTTCCTTGATTTTCCATCAGTTTTTGAATACTAACAATTTGATTAATGTGCAAACCTTGTGTTGGTGACATGTTACCCTTTAAACACAAAATTTTAAAATATTATTATTCAGAACTCAGTTTTTGTATTATGAAAATAATCGAATAAAGTAAATCAGAAATTATATAAAGATATATTATATCTCAATTAATTGAGATAATAACATTATAGTATGGAAATAAAAATATTAATATTTACCGATTCGTTTATGCGCCCACTGTCGCTAAAACTCTTAGAATGTATTAACAAACTCGGATAGTTTTGAACAAGCACAGAATATAGTTGCTTTTTCTGAGTGAGAGCTTCGAGTACTTCTACAGGAACATTTTCATGATTTTTTACAAAAGTGGGTAAATTTACAAGAGAATTGCATAGTCTCAAATCTTTGGTAGTGTCTGGTAAACCTCTGTTGTCATGGATGCCCAAATCTTCTTGGAACATTTGTTCGACTTCGTCTTTACTGCTGCCGGTCGTTGGCGACGATTGTAACTGTGTGTGTTGGGAATGCCTATCATAACTGGCCGTGGACTTGAGACGCCGTTTCTGGAGTCGGGCGTCTTTCTTCTTTTTCCACTCGTTCTGAGCCTTCTCCTTGGTCCACGGCAGGTCTCGCATTAGCATACCGAACACGCACAAGTTCAAAAACAGCCCTGCCAGTATCAGCGTGCATCCGCGCCAGCCGTAATAGCTGAGCAACTCGTGGTTGAGCGGGGCAAAGATAAACGTACCGATACCGCTGCCGCAAACCGACAGGCCGGTGGCCAAGGACCGTTTCTTGTCAAAATAGTAGGCGACAATGACGACGGCCGCGACGTAGCAAAGGGATAGTCCGAAACCGGAAATGAGACCGAATGTAATGAACAACGTGAACAGAGAGTCGGCGAACGCGGACATAACGAACCCGGCGGACGCCACTATCGAACCGATGATTGTGACCTTCTGGCAGCCGTACCGGTCGGTCAGGAAACTGGCGATGGGCCCGGACAGCAGCGGCACAGCCATGAACAAGGACCCTATCCATGCGGTTTTGCTCTTGCCCTCGTCGAAGTACTTCTCGAACTCGATGAATATGACGCCGAACGAAAACGTGACTCCGTCCGCGATCATGTTGACCATGAAGGACGCGAACACCACCACCCATCCCCAACCACCATCAGGGGCGCGGTTCAGCAAGTCGGACGAATCGGATGACGAGGACTCGTCCGAATCGGTGGTCGTGTACGAAGTGTACGGCGAATCTTGAACGCCAGTACCGCGTTGATGGTGTCTGGAACAGCAGCCATTGACGTTGGCCGGCTCATCCTTGTGGAACGTTACGTGATTTTTGGCGACACCGTCCGCGGTGGTCTTGTCGCTTGTCTTGATAATTCGATCGCTATTACTTTTATCATCTTCGTCGTCGTCTTCGTTGCCGTCTTCGGCTTCGTCGTCACCGCCGCCGTTATCCGACGCTAACGACGGTTTTTCGGACTGTTCCGGGCTTAGTTTAATATCTTTATTACTGCTATTGTTATTATTATAGAGATCACTAGTTTGAGGAATAAGGCTATTTACACTTAACAAAATGATATTGACTTCTGGGTCGACTGTATTAACGTTGTCCGCCATTCCGTCAGCTCGTGTTGTTTACTCCTGCGTTTTCTCACACCGGTTCTCCTCATGCGGCTACTTCTCGAGGTGTTGTTCTTGATGGCCAGACTACTACGTTCACCGTCGCCGCGGTGATTGTGTTCGTAGTTCTTAAGGTGTGCGTAGTATGCAGACGTGGTTTCCATGCGGTTTAATTTTTAGAAATTTCAAAACTTCTAAGTAATCGCCACTTCGCTTTACCTAGAACAAAAAGTTCGAAACTTTATTATTATTGTAATTTTTTTTTTTTTTTCTAATAACGTTATTGTCTTAAAGCCACAAGCCCAAGCACCGAAATTCAACCGAAATCGCACCACCCCGCTCGACCGACTCGCCAACTCGTATTGTCATTGTGCCTCGTGTCTGTGCCGTCCGTTCCGTCGGCCCAATCGCCGGACGCGAAAAATAACATCCGGACACGGGACGTCGGCGGTACGCCGAACCGATCAGTCGACGGCGCCGCCGCGACGCACTGCGCATTAATACACGCGACGTTACCACGGATAACGCGACGTTATTGCAGGACCGTTGGTAACGCGAGCGAAAATCCGTTTTTTTTTTCGCGCCGAACGCCGGGCGTTTTGGCAATGTTTTCGCGAAAACGTATCCGAAAATCGCGCGCGAGCGCCGCGTTGAGGTTTTGCCAGAGTCGATGGCCGGATCCTCCACGCGAAAACGCGCTTTATATTTATAATAACCTATGCGCATTGTCGGTACCTGTATATAATGGATTATTTTTAGACCGATAAATATGCCAAACCGGGCGTAATTTGGAACGCGTTATGATTTGACGGAAATAATAATAGTCAGGTAGGTAATTAATAGAAGAGAGTAAAAAAAAAAAAAAAAATGTATCGAGACGGTGGACTGTTTTTGGGGGAGGGGGAGGGGGAGGTTTCGTGTGGATTGCGCCGCTTTCGATGACTATGTAGCAGGGTAACAACGCTAGTACACCCGAACAACGAGTAGAAAAAAAAAAAAGATCCACGAAAAAAACTCAATACCTACGGATAATATTATGAAAATCACGCGACAATGAAAAACAAACAGCTTCTTCGCCGCGTACACACGGAATCTAAGCCGTGTTTAAACATGTTAACAATTGAAATTCGATTAACTAACATAACCTTGAAAAACTAGTTACTGTACACAGAATAATTTGTTTTTTTTTTCGTATCATCTAAACATAAATGTTTATATCATAAATAATTGCTGTTATTATGAAATAACAACGGCATTTAATTAGGTACGCACGAATAAAAATCGATAAAACTCAATAAATCCATAACGTGGCATCGGATAAATTTTAAATTTTCAAACAAAAACGAAAATAAACGCAAGTTTAATACGCGCATAGAAAAACTGACGGCGACAGGTAATCACTGGGGAGGAGGAGGGAATCGTTAATACATAAATGCACGCGCGGAATAATTTAACACGACACGCAGAGAAATTGAAATAATAATAAAAAAAACCAAGTAAAATTACGTATTTTTAATCGTATTAAGCGAATTATTTAAAAACCACTATTTACAGAGACTGTAATGGGTTAACTCGGAGAATTTTAATTAACCGGCGTAATGATATTGTTAAATAATGGACTACAAATACGAGATAATAGCAGACAACGAGGAGTAATATGTGTACAAGGATGTATGCAATGATAATGATAACAATTATTATTCGTTGTCGTTATAATAAAATGATTACATACCTCTACTAGTTTGTGTAAAATTTCTGTTGAACGAGAAAAAAAAAACTGTCTAGGTACCTCTATTTATATGTGTAACTATTTAATGTAGTAAAACAACCTTTTCAACCCAATCATTTACTATCATTTAAATCAACGTGTAATATTACACGTATTTTATCGATGTCCAATGAAATTAATTAGACAAATGTCAATTCGTTGTGAAAATTTTGAGTTTTATTATTATATTAGCAATAATGGATTTAACATTATATAAAGCAAATATTTACTAATTAACTACACACCACTGATGTTCAAATAAATAGAATTTTAATTTGTATTAATTTTTCGTGGTACAATTAAAAAATCATAATGAAAAGCGTTGACCTTGAAATAACGAGGAATTTTTTTTTTTTTAAATTGTATACCCAGCACACCTTTATTCATTAGATAATAGTATTCGAGTTTAAAATTTTGAAATCATTTATACATAATAACATGGACAAAACGCGTATCAATTTATAATAGCGAATTTCTGTAATATACCTGCATAACGTAAATTTTTAACAATTGTACTATAATATTATAATGTCTTAATTTAATTTCCATATAAATACTTATAATCGTACTTAATAAAAAAAATTATCTTATTTCTAGTTACCTTTTATGTATAAAATAAATAGTTTACTAAGTACCTACCGAGCTTATAAGAATTTATAATTAGATAGATACCGGTATTCGAGCAGTTTTCAATTAAGAATAAAAGTACTGTTTTTTTTTTTTTTTTAATGTTAATAATAAGTATCGAATATTTCAAATCAATTGTTTACCTACTACTTGAATACAATTTACTGTCATATTATTAAAACGTTTATATCATACGAATGTATTGTTTTTGAGGTGAAAACGATAAGGTTATAGGTACGGATCGGTATGAAAAGGGCATGGGGTGCTACATAATTTCTAGGGGAAATTTCAACAATAATTGGAACAAATTATAATAATAAATCAAATGTAAAAATACCTGACATACTTTGTACCACGGGCCGGCCCATTGTTGTAAGTTGGAAATGTAAGATAGATACACATAATATAGGGATATTTAATTTATATCTGTACGCGATGATAAATCAGTGATAAATTAAAATACGTACGTCATTTTGTGATTGCAAAATAAACTACAATTGTTGAAAATTCGGACACTTCAAAAAGCGCCGAAATATTTTGAAAATAACGTTTAGAAAGTGCTAAAATATCGTGTAATGCAAAACAATCAATGATGATGATAACTTGAAATGTTGTAATCAAATTATTTATAATTTATTTGTTTAGTGATATAGGTATCTATTGTATTATGATAGAATCATAACTTCCTAATTAAAAATTCATATTAAGTAAAAATCGAGTGGAGAAAATTATATGGGGGGAAGGGGGCATGTGGTTCTGCACAATTCGCGCCCGAATAAGGCTATGAGTATTTGTTATAGTATCCACAATATTATTATACTATACTTGGTATAGTCGCGTGTATCATCGTGGGAATGGAGAATCGATTACATTTAAAAACTGGCAAATTCGTATCACACCTTTTCGGTCTAAAATGGAAAACATTTTCGTGACCTCTAGACCAAGAATCGTTACCTCGGCAACAATAGTTGATACAAAGAAATAACAATGGCACGTACAATACTGCGGTCTGCTACAACATAATGATGAAGTAAGAAATGAGACGGGGGACGCGTATGGTAGGTAGAGAGATTTTTTTTACTGCAATAGATTTAAAAAAAAATAAAATAAAAGACAGACAAGCTTTGCACGACTGGTGGGTCACTGTTGTAGATGGGAAGTTGGGAATATAGGATGTAGAGGGGAATTTAATGTATATTAGTATGTAACGATTAATCATTGCTAATTAAAAACGATTCTAAGCGGAGTTTGGTTATACATGTTTTGAAAGGCCGTATTATTTATGATTTTCGTCAATATGTAATACTAAAAATTCTTACAAAAAAAACTTTCTACACCATACTCATTTTTTTTTTCTATTTTATCACACATTACGATTTATAGTAAACTTCATATTAAATTTTCAAGCATTCCTGTTTGGTCAATTTTACCTACGAGATATTATGTACAAAATTCGCAAAATTAAATTGTTTATAAATAGTTCCAAATTGCACAAATGTTTTGAAAATTTTACCACGTTTAGAAAAAGTAAATAAAAGTTTTCTGCCCTACGAATATTTTTAGCTGAGTTACAACTAAAAAACAAAATCGAAAATAATAAATTCATTATTTTCGTAGATTTTCACGTTTTTCCTATTATTATGAAAACCGCTTGGAAAATCAAAAAATAACCTCTAAAGTACTAACTAGATAAAATTTCCTTTCAGAAGGGTTGTTACACTTGAAAATAGGAGTAATATTTTTGATAACAATTTTGTATACAGTAAATATATATGTATGTACATAAAAAAAAATAAAAAAAAATATAATAACAAATAAACATAATTTTAAAACCAATACATTCCTTGCTTCTAGAAAATAAATACTGGAATACGAATCCGAATGCCAAATAAAGTAGCAAAGGTAAAGATTTGAACTAAAAACGTATTTTATAATTTATAAGAAATAATCTGGGTTGTAACCGAATTATAACAATCCCGAAAACAGGTGATAAGAAATAAAAGTGAAAAATGTCATTGCACCAGACGAAAATCGTACAGCTCCCAAATAAATAATTATTATTTCTCACGGTTTATGCGTCAGTATAGATAAATTTGTATAAATGCATAATGTATTACTACCGGGACAAAATTGATACATTTATTTTTATTATTGTTACACAATAATACAATATGTGTTGTATACCTTTTACATACATATTGTATTTATTTAAACGATTCTGTTTTTCATACACCTATACTAATATCTAGAAACACAATACTTTTTATAACAATGCATATATTATTACATATTATTTCGGTTGATTGTCATCAATTTAGTTACCTATCTAATTATAACACATAATATTTCTAATCAGATTATACTTAAAATTTTTACAGAAACGTGCGTGATATGTAGGAACGATAGATTTGCGTGTGGCATCTACATACAAATATACACATTTATGTTTATTTAATTATGGCACATTATATTACATCATATCGTATGCTATCAACCGTCCATTGTTCCAATATTGTTCGCATTTCATAATTGTTGAACTGTAACGCCCTAAGCTTTTTAAATAGAACTTTGGTCCCAGAGAGAAAGTCCTAAGTCAACTATTAAGAAAACTACAAGGAAAATAAAAAATGACTTCTCCAAACGTGCACCAACTAAACAAAATTTACTTTTAGAAAAGACGGTACACTTGATCGGAGCAAAATTTCTAATAAATAATAATACAGACAGAAAAAAAAAACACACATCACAACGAACCCATACATTCTTCGATATGCTCAAAATCTAAAAATATTTATACTCACAGTAATATTGTTTGGTATTAAAATAGTCGTGCAGTTTATTTTTAATACACCTAGAAAATAGGTACTTAAAGAACAATAATATTCTACCTTTAATACCTTTATGTGGTTATAATACAGAAGACAATGCGGAGTACTAGCGTACGCAGATGATATTATCATATTGGGATCAGACAGTCAAGAAGTCAAAGCAGGAACCAAAGAACTAATAATAAACAGCAAAGACATTGGATTACAAATNCTGGGTGTTACAATAAATAGCAAAAATAATAATCACGATGAAATTAAAATAAGACTAACTGCAGCAAATAAATGCTATTACGGAGTAACGAGTATATCACTCAAATCAAAAATTACAATATACAAGGTAATTATCAGACCAGTCCTTTTATATGCGTGTGAAACATGGCCAACGACTAAAGGAGACGAAGGCAAATTAGCAATACTCGAAAGAAGAATATTTGGTTTTTAAAATAATTTTTTAGGACTATTAGAAATAAAAAAAAAAAAAAACATTTTTGCAATATTGCCTATTAGACAGATGGAGACAGCAAATGTTAGTGTGACATCTTCGTATAACAATCATTTCTGTTACAATTAAATTCTGGCGATATTCTAGTTGAATAAAATGGTAGTTATTAAAAATAATTCAGGGCGACTCAAATCAAACTGGTGTAGTCTATAGTTCTATTCGATATAATAGGTACGTATTACATGTACGATAATAATTAATTAGCATTTGGAAATAATACTCGTACAATGTTATTTATTTTAGACAATTTAATCATTTGTCATTAGTTTTATATTTAGGTAGGTAAGAAATTTAATTTTTTTTTATCATAGATTACATTTAACACATTACTCAACCGTTTATATAGTGAACATGCATACGTCATAATAATGGTTGTAATTCTAATACTCTGTCCGATGTTTTATACAAAATGGCATGTATAAATTTTATTTTATAACCTAAATGATCTTTTAAAGTTTAAATTACTCAGAATCAAAGATGTATCTACGCTTTTAATTATCAATAGTAAATAATACTAATAATGGTAAAATATAATATTAAGTATATTATTGCATCCGAGATGATAATATAATCTCTATGATATACTTTATACTTGCATATAATGGCTGTAACTTATTATAATACATATTTTTATGTGTATTAAATGATAGCAATTAAAATTGATATATATATATAAAAGATTATCTATAGGTATTTATTGATTTATTTCGACCTTATAATTTTGAATAGCTTTTATGTAACTATATTACATATGGTTTAGAAAGTGCGTTGTTATTTCAAACCTCGTGTTCCTTAATAAAATAAAAAATCAATATAGTGTATTACACTGTAGGTTAGTGTACCCCAGTTGAAATTAATATTATTATCAAATTACTTAATATTAAAAAATTTGTATTTACAATTTTGTAACTTGGATAAGTTACATTATTGGGTGGTTTAATCTGTTTTTATTAAATACAAAATTTAACTCTATAAAATTGTTAAAAATTGAATTTTGTCAAATTGTGTTTTTAGAATTACAAAGAAAACATAATTGTTTAACTTATTACTGATGTACTTGCAACTTCTTAGACTATAATTAGTTTTTAGTAATTTGTATTTATTTATCTATATAACTGAAGTAGAAATATGCTCATATTATAAAAATTAAATAACCTACTTTAATTTTTTTACTTAAATGAAATAAATTACTACAATAAAAATAATGTTAAATTTTAATAAAATTGTTTTTAAGAAGAGGTTATACAATATAACTAATATTGTATTATACAATTTAAAATGGATAATTGATCTTTAATAAGAACATAGGTATATTTAATTACAAAAGTACATTTTGTATACTTCTAAGCAGGTTGTTATCAAAGATAATTATTTGATAAATTATACATTAGTTATATACTATTAAGAAAGCTATATTAGAGTTGTATTAATTTAATGTTCTATTAACATTATTAAATTATGATTTTGACCAACATAAATTCAGATGATTATAATAACAAATAATATACATGATGAATACATTAAATTTAAAAATTAAATAATGTAGATATACTTAAAATACAGTTTTTATTTAACTAATTAAAAATAATTAAATTTATGACCTCCCTTTTTTTTTTAAATGTGTAAACGTGTTAGGTAATTATTAATTAAATAATAATAAAAAACATATTTACACATGATTTCAATATTTTTTTATTTGTAAGTTATTAATAAGTAGCATAAGTTATACATTGGAGAAACTAAACAAATGGTCATTAGATACAGCCTAATTACGAGCCAGAGGGCGTTTTTTTTTTTGATTAATGAAATAATATTAATAATATTCTAGATACCTATACATAAAACATTCACAATATACTGGCTCTTTTCATTACAAATAATAAACATATGGGTTTATATATAAAAGTTACTCTAATACAATTTAAATAAACTGTGAACAACACCTAGCTTAACCTAACTTAACTGTAACAATAATATGTGAGAATACACACAGAGTACATAATTAAATTATTTAAGAAATTCCACACAGAGAAAAGGCATCGTATATGATATAGATAATAAAAAATAACGTAACATGGATAAAATAATTATAATTGTTTTAAATATTATGGTTTATTAGGAATGTAACAAAAAAGTGACCATAATTAACGTGTAAGGTATCTTTGTATATTGGGTAGGGCGAAGGTTATTTATGTACGTGCATGGTAGATGTGTTATCTGGTTATCATATTAAATTTCGAAGTAGGTATAGCCACCTAATTATTCCATTTTATTTTTGAACAGCGTTACGAATTTAGAAAAAAAGAGCTGATACTGAGGACGGGTGCGACTGAGCTAGGTAGTTGATAAGGTGGGATACATGAAGTTATTTAATTTATATCTGTATATCTTACAACGACAAAAATATTGCTAATGAAAAACAATTCAGAGCGAAATTCGGTTATACATGTTTTGATACACCTTTTGAAAGGCAGTAATATTTACAAATTTCATCAAAATTTGATTTTAAAACTAATAAAAAAAAAAAAATTAAAATACTATGACAATCAAATTTTTTTCTGATAACTATGTTTGGCTTATAATCAACCTTCTGTCAAATTATCAAGCATTTCTGTTCAGTCTTCTTTCAATTACCTACCAAATAAAAATTACGTAAAAAACTCGCCAAATTAAAATGTCTATAAATAGTTCCAAAATTGCAAAAAAATGTTTTGAAAATTTTACCACGTCCAGAAAAAGCAAGAACTTAAATTTTCCATCAACATTTCATCTCTACGAATATTTTTAACTGAATTACATTGAAAAAACAAAAATTAAAATAATAAACAAATTATTTTCGTAAATGTATCCGTTCTTTCCACGTATTTTCTCTGTACTTTTCGGTTTTGCTTAACTATCAAAAAAACTACTCTATTGGTCACCAACTAAATTAAAAATTCAATAAAAAAGTTTCTCATTGTTTTTCTATTGGAGCAATATTTATGGTATAAAATATAAACTGTACAAATTTTAAGTATGAAATTGTAAATTGTAATTTGAAAAAAAATCGTGTTTTTCGTGAATAAATACAGCAAATTATACTTTATAATAAATTTATATTATATATTAAATTTTACCTTATAAAATAAAATAATTTATACTTTTAAACTTAAAACAGAAGAAGTACAAATAGTTTTATTCCATTTTCCAAATTATATTTTCAAGAACGTAGTAGGACTAGTAGTTAAAAGTTTAAAAATCAAAATGGTATATATAGCATTAAAAAATAATTTAACAACTTAACACTAAACCATCAATTTGTAAACAATCTCATTTTGTCATAAACTGATAACTAATTGTTTATTTTATTAATTGTCTTTAGAAAATTCAAGCTTTCACGATATTTACAATTTTTTTTAAAAGTTTGCACCTTCATAGTACTAAAACTGTTTGGTAGATGTGTGTAATATGTGATATCAGTTAAATGTATTAGCACCTGTAAATTTGTTTTTATTTATTTTGTTTTGAAATTAATATATTACTGGGCCTCATTGAGAAAAACTTGTGTAGAAGTCCAGGAGTTATTTTAGTTTACAAATATTTTAAATTATAAATCATATATTAATTTTAAATCAATAACTAAATTACACAAGTACAATATTAGAATAATTACATTGAATAGAAAACCTAATCAACTTAGTATATATTATTATTTTGTACTGTCTGGAATCTTAATAGTTTATGTAAAGTATACATTTTAATGTACCTCATATGGAAATGTTAAGATTTAAGAAATATGAATTATATTATTCAACAAAATAAAACAAGTTTATAATTATGGGGCCTGGGTCAATATCACTTAATTAATTTGGGAAAATTAAGAATAAAACACATTTTTATGAATTGATATTGCAATAGTAATTTTTCTAACAATATTGGTCTTTTCAAATCTTACATGATTGAGATACGCTCTTTTACTATTAGAAAAAGCACATAAAACTTTATATGATTGGCCGTACAACTCATTTTCAACAAAAAGTGACAATGGTTCTTTTAGACCCAAACTCCAGAATATGCCGAGTAATGTAATAGTTACCTAACACATTTTTAGTAAACATTGAACTATAAAGTTGACCTTTTAGCAAAATGGAATATAGAATGTTAAACAAATAACCCTGATTTGGAAAATATAATTGAACATCTCTTTATCCTACCTCTAGGTCTCCACCTTCCTCGCAAATAGTGGCTTACTCTTAACAGATCTATGAACAACACACAGTAAACTGGATAAATGTTACACAAGAATAGTTTAACCTCTTTTCTCTTCTGAGATTGTGGTCTTTAAATACAAATAGCAAAGCATAATTTTGGAGAATGTGAAAAACAATTTTTCTAAGGTGACATTAAATAACTGCACATATGATGCTATAAAATATATAGAATCCAAAGACATTATTTAATAAATACTAACTTTTTAAATTATTCAAACATTGTTTAAGCGCTTATATTTATTGATAGGTAACTTGAATGTCAATTGTATTTTATTGCTTGTTATTGAAAAGATCATGCAAATATAATATATACATGTATATTTATTTGTTATAAGAGATGTTGTCTAAAGATAAAATAACTTAGTAGTTATGTAACAAAATTTAAACAAAATTAACAAATTATTATCTCAATTTCTTATTAAGTACCTAATCCGGAAATGTCTAAAATAACTGCATACAACATTTTAAGCAAATTTAATGATTTTTTAAAAATTACATTAGGTTTTATTAAACATTGGCTAATAAGTAATAATATGTAAATCATGAACTCAAAAAATTAAATTACCCAATGGGGGAAATTATAACAATTATACTATATTTTATGGTATGTCATATTAACTATCAAATTGTAAATGAAATGTACATAATATATTAAAACTAATTAATTAAGTCATTAAGCCGTTTATCTAATGAAATTACTTTTAAACTTGTACATTGTATTAAATAGATAATGTGATAATCAAAAAGGTTACTATTCTATAGAGATTATTAGTTTCAAGAGCAGATATAAATTATCAGCACTAATCAATGTTTAATTTCTTTGATAATTTATAAGTATAGTTCAGAAATACCTTTTGAATAGGAATTAAAATTATTTTTAAGTATAATTTTATCATCAATTTAATCTTATTTGTAGATAGAGATTATAATACAATTGATACCTACTCAAAATAATTAATATCAATAATGTGCAGTGATTCGTGATTGTTTTTTAATTGAGTAGCATAGCGGTAAATATTCAAATATTTTTAAGTACCTACTCAAGAACCAAGCTCTTTAAATTTTAAGTTCATATTGCTCTTGTTATTTAATGCAACTGTACAATATTTAAATAATATAACATTACAGTTATTAAAATGTTTTTCCGGCGCCAGCACACTATTTTGGATATCCCTGGGGAGTTTTTGCAATCAATTTTTTACCACATCCTATCACAATCACGGAAATGTTTAAATGTATATATATTGTTTCAAGGCATTTTACCATTTAGCAGAGGAAAAAAATATGCATTGATTGGCATATTAAGATTTCATATTCATATTAATTTACAAAATCAATATGTATTTAAACAACATATACCTAAGTTATATACATTATACTGCATTGAAACTTGAAATTTTACAATAAATTTAAATTCCTTATTAAAATGTATTAAATATTTGATCATAAATAAAATGTTTTAAATAGTGAATCTATTTATTAAAATTTGAGTGATTCCAAAATAATTTATTTTTTAAAAAAAATTATGAAATTATTATTCTTATTGTGAAACAATATATACAAATTAAATGCAAACAAAAAACTTTTCAAGTATATATTAGATATAGTATGAAACAGATAATTATCAATAATTAGCGTGATCAAATTTAAAAACAGTTTATCCAAATAATATAGATAGGTACATAATCATCACTTACTTTAAATCTCTTTGAATGTGAAAACATAATTAAAAATTGAATAAAACCCATAACATTTAATAACCATAATTAAAACAGTGTAAGACAAAATTGTATGTACGGCCAAATTACTAACATTATCGAGATGACACACTGCCGCTGTCTTCCAAACACTATAAATACAAGTAAAAATATAATATTATTCTACAGAAATACACAATAATTACAACATCAGTTATTATTAATGTAGTTTTTTGAATAACAAAATATTGCAAGTTACATTTATGAAATAGTAAACAGCAAAAATGTCACTAGGTACGAAAAAATTGGACCGCATGTCAAAGTGTTTTGATAGTGGTCTGCGACAAGAACAGAAAATAATATAATATTTATGAAATGCACTTGCCTACTTATACACTATACATAATTTTATCTTTAATGTATAAGATTAAAAATATTCTTTAAACAATTTTCTTAGATTATCACAGTTAATTTAAACTTCAATTCACAGGATTTAATTATTATTACCTAACCTAATAAATAAATAAATACTTAAGTACCTACCTTATCTTATAATAATTATATTTTTACACAGAACACTAAAAAGCATTCATTCAGTGTGGCTTATCGTAAGTTTTAAGTTTCACGTGATATGAACTACCTAATTTATATTTTCTAATAAAATCTAAATCTATACAGTTTTGCAAAAATATTGAAAATAAGTGTAATAGAAATACATAACAAGGTTTCATTTTATTCTTGTCCATTATTGATTATTCATTAATAATTTTACAAAATTATATGGGTTCAATTTGAATATAAAATGTACAGTACCAATAATTAAAATAAAAACCTTACTTATGTCTAATTATACAAAATGTGATCAATAAATTTGTCACAAAAACCTAACTTTATGTAGGTACATTAAAAAAATAATATGAAGAAATAGTGTCTACTGCCTACCAATATTTGTATCATAGGCCATATAATGCCCACTAAACTACCTATGTAGATAATATTAAGAAAATTGCAAGTATAAAATTAAAATAATTTGATCATAAAATGTTTTATTTTATTTAAATATTAATAATATCATAATATTGTCAACATTTAACTATAGTACTTAAATAAAAAATAGTTGATACTGCTGACAGTTATAGGTGGATAGGTAGGACGTAGAGATTAACATATTTAGTTTAAAAACGGTGTGAAATGATAAATCATTATTGACAAAAACATTTCTGAGTGCAGTAGTTACTACCCCTTATTGCCAAGGCAATCAAACAATTAATATAAATCAAAAGAACAACAAATTTTCAATAACTATTTCAAATAAAGTATAGGAATTCCTCATATTTTGAGATATTGTGTGAAGAAAACTACCTAACCAAAATACTGTAAAAAAATATCATAAAAAACCAATGGGTTGAAAAAAAAATATTTAACCAGGAATTTCTTTTTTTTGGTATGGCATAAATAAATCAGAGCATTTAACAACAAAATTTTTTTTCAAAAAATCACATCTTTGTACAGCTATATTAGCTATTTCACTAAACTCGGAATCTAAATAAAAAAAACATTATTTCGACCTGGAAATCCATTCCAATTAATTGCTAAATGTATATTGTTGCAAGTAGGTAGCTTCCAAATAAAACGCGTTTGAGGAATTTGTGAACAATTTTTATAACATATCAACATAGCAACATGCATTTTACCCTTAATTTTATTTTTAAATTGTAATACTGTAGTACTAATCTAATCTAGTGTTAATCTAATTATATAATTATATATCTTAAATTACCATGTAAGTTTTCTGTACTTGGGACGCGATCCGTTTTGCCAAAAAAAATTTAAAAAATAAGGGCAACCCATAATTTGTGATCAAAAATCGCTACTTGTACTAACTTTTTAGAATTATAATTTTAAAATAAACCTACAATTAACTTCTTATTCGCCATTCCGGGATTTTTTTTTTTATATTAAAATACATTTTGGACTTATTTTTCCAAACAACACGCGATAATTTGTAGAAAAGGGGTTTCAGAATTGATAGTGATCCTTTTTGTCTAATGTATAAGCCGCAAAACAATAATTTACACAACGTCAATATATCGAAAAACGCCAAATAGATATATTTTCCGTGCGCCCCTCTTCTGACCAATGACCCGTGATTGAAATTTCGAGTTTCTCACGTCCCGCCGAGATACGACGAGTTTTGAAGCTCGCGTTTGGGGATTTAGAAAAAATGTATTATCCATAGTCTGTCGGGCTCTCGGGGTTAAAACTAAACCTAAAAATATCGGACAATGCTATAGTGGTTTTCTAATAGTATTATAGCTAGTGATCTAATAAAACTCCAATCGGTCGGAATTTCGATAGTAAACTTTTTAACCCTTTTCAACATTGCTTTAGGGTAAATAACCAATAAAAGTGTTAAAAATCTCGTATATTTTTGCTGGAAATTGGAATGTTAATTCTAACTGAAGAATGTCGATAAGTTACGGAAGGGGAATGGAGAGTATATGTATGATTTTTCGATTTTATTTTGACTGTTTTTATCGACCCAGATAAGCAGACTTTTGCAGAGATCAAAATTTGTCTAAGATCGCAAATGCGCACTTTTAAACCTGCCAAATATTTACGAGAAATGGGAAAATCGAAAATTCAAATACAAATTGTATTCGGCGATATTCGATATTTTTACTCTTTTTTTCACCCCAAGCCAGCCCCAGAATTCAGTCAGTTTTTTACAAAACCTGTAAAAAAACGATGAGAGTTTATTTTTGAAAATACAAATTTAAAAAAAAAAAAAAAACGATTGGGCTAGACTTGGAATTTTCAAACAATTAAAGGGTATATAGTAAGTAGTCATACTATTATTAGTAATACGATTTAGGCACATCAAATAATTAACTAAAAATAATCAATACTTAATCCTCTTTATAAGAGTAAGTATTTTATAATAAAGAAAAATGTAAATAGGTATTTAAATACTATTTTTTAAAATATAAAATGTCAACTACCTATGATAAGTAATATCACATAATAAATAATAATACCAACTATATAATATATTTATGTATACATATAGGTATCACAAGTAATAAGGTTCATTACCCTAAAAATTATTTGAATTCATCAACCAAATAATATAGTTTCAATAAATTTTCATTCGTAATTTAGTCCAATTGTGAACTCGAGATTTAATGGATTATTTTGTTTATTTCTTAGGAATATCAAAATTGCTTACCTTTTGCTAGATAAACATATTCGGCTCCCGTATGCAGTTCAGGACACTTACGCACTGTATATTACGATTTTATATTATAATAATAAATTAATAAATATATTATTTAGGACTAGACAATTGAATACTTGGCGGCGGAGTTGATTGTTACTACTATTAATACAATATTATAATAAATAATAATAATTGTACGGAGAATATATAATATTTATATAAAAAAAAAAATTATATTATATATATTCGGAAGATAAATGGCTGAATAACATAAACAATTAACAGAAAAAAAAAAAAAAAAGGAAAAACAAAACAAATACGTTAAAATATAATCGTGTGTAACAATTAAACTAGTGAACGTGTGTTACGTTTGTCATTTGCGTGAGTGTGTGTAGTTGTGTATTGTGCAGATCGTTACGTTTTGAGCATAGTCACAGAGAAAATACAGAGCTAATCGACACCGATACCGAACGATATAGTAGTAATTACAGCTGTTTTCCTCAGTGGGGCAAAAAGCAGATTGCCGATCGCCAGTGTTTCTTAAAACATTTATTGCAGAAAAAGTAATAACGAAAACACACTATCAGTACCGGCCCGTTATCAGAGATAAGACATATTTTGTTTTGGACTGCTGTACGAATTATAACAATTTGACGAAATATGAATTATTGCCTATTGGTGAGTGGTGACTACTGACTATAAATTCGCGGTCATAATATTACTCCCTCGTATTACCGTTAATATGTACGATGTCTCTGATCGCCGCCTCATTCGTTACGGTAATTTAAAAACCTTTATTATTTATATCCTTAGCCATCATGGATCTCCTGGAAAACTCGAACCATGAGACGGATACGGTGACTACAACAGTTCCAGAACAATCAGCGTCTCCGACGCCTCTTGACGACGACGTGGATTCGAATGAATATCGTGAGAACAAGCCCAAGTCTTATAAGCAGCATTTTATGGCTCTTTCCCAACGATGCGAAATCATTCAACAGGTAAAATTATGGTCTTCATTGTTCAAACTTAAATAAATTATTGTTAAACAGGGATTACAATTAATTTAATTGTATATAATAGAAGAATTAATAGTTTAAAAAATTTAAATTCGGACGTAAAAAGACAAAAAGGTGTATTTCTTAGCCACTAGGTTTCTATGCTTCTATTTCTTAGTTTTATTTGTTTAAAACCATTTGTTTTCTTACTAAATAAATAATCTATTAACTTACTTTTAGATTGTTCTGACAAAATAAACATAAGTTAAATGAAGATATTGTGGACATTTTTATATAATTATTATTATTAATATTTATTTATATCTAGATGCAAAATTCTCTACAAGTTTTAGAAAAAATAAACCAGTTCATTTCACTAAAATATAATCACCATTTTTAGCATTTTTACTATATTAGACACAATTCTATGCATTCTACACATATATCATTCAATGTGTATACAATTACATTTTACCATATCTGTAACCGTTTGTCAAATATATTAAAATATCAATTTTGTCTAATAAATAAAATATTTTATATTTTACTTTTTTCTTGGAAAATTATATGTTTTTACGACTATAGTTTTCTATTTAAATTTAAAAAACTATAAAACTTACCACCTTTGACAATTTTTCAATCCAAATTACACGACAAGGGGTCATTGAGAGATCATTATAAGCTTAAAAACAAATTAATTTCATTAGGTGCTTTAGCTTAAAAAAATAATCAGGTACTGTATTGAAAATATTACATTTCCCTCCTCTCCAAAATACAAATAAAAACTATGGATAAATTATAATGTTATTAGGTGATTGACAATTGTAAAAATTATTTAATTTTTCCAATGCATTGAATTACTTAGGTATCATTAATTATAGAAGTTAAAAAATATACACGTCACATATTGCACTAAATTAAAATATCTAAGAAAATAGGTACCTATAATATTTTAAATTTTATTTTACCTTTAATATTATTATTAAATGGTATATATTATCATAAACTAATAAATATTATTACAACTATATCTAAAATATGTCAGTTTTGATCACAGATATATATATATAAAGTATTTTATCTCTATCCGTGGTTATGGTGCTGGAATACTGGGTTTTTAATTGTTTTTGTTCTGAATATTTTAGGACAATGAGCGTCTTGTTTATAGAATACACCGTGTTGCTAGACAGTTAAGACGAATACGAGTGGAACGGAGGTATGTACTATAAGTTTATGCTATCATATCAACACCACACTGTTGAATATGTATTTGTAGGTTTATTATGGATCGATTGGATAGACACAGGGATAACTGGAGAGAAGCTGAATTACAAATAGATCTAGGAAGTGATTTTCCTTTACTTGAAGCTGTTAATGTAAAAGTAAGTTTTAAAAGTGGTGGGTAAGCTATTTGTAAATTAAAATTTTATTAAAAATAAAATGTTATGCCTACATAGAATCAAGGATCTGCAGAAACACCAAATGGAAAAAAGAATTCAAACATTAAATCTTCAGAAAAGAAAGATCCAAATTTACCAAAAAGGCCAGCAAATCCATTCTTTAGATTTTGTCAGGAACAGAGACCAATAGTATTAGATCAAATAATCTTATCGGGTGAAGGTGAACCCACTAAACAAGATCTTACAAAACGATTAGCAATTACTTGGAATACTATGGAACCAAATGAGAAAAAAGTATGTATCAAACAATTATAGAGGCTGTCCCACGAAGATATACCCCTTGAATATCTTCCAAGATAATAAAGATAATCAAATTATGTTTTTTAATATTACTCAGGGAAGAGGACTACAAATAATTATATTTGAATTATTTTTTTTTTTTATTAAAAAATTTAAAAAATTTTTATTTTAATATTTTCGGAAAATTTTAAGATGTTTGCTTGCTAAGCGTAGATTTTGAGTGTTTGTACTTGTATTCCGATATACCTTTATTGAAGTAATTATAAATTCAGTTTTATATATATATATATATATTATTATTTATTTCAGTTATATATAATATTATAAATAATTAAAATAGTTTTAAATGATAATATTAGTTAAAAATATATTTGAATATGATATACAATACGTATCAATATATGACAGACTATAAACAATACACTATTTTATTTTTAAATTATGTGTAGTTTTCCAGACTATATAAAGAGATAATGTCATAATATCACGTTTATAAATACATATTTTGTTATAACTTATGTATAATTTCAATAAATTCAAATCAATCTGCGCTTGCTACCACACACGGAGAGTGGTATTTTTTATTTATATAGTTTTAAATAATATACCGACTACCGAATCACAAAATGAGTGAAAGGTGGTCCAAGGAAAAAATAATTTAATTGAATTATATGAGAATGTCAGTTGCTTATGGGACACAAAATCTTCCGATTATAAAAATAAAATAAAACATTTCATTTTTTTTTTTTAATGTTTTATTACGCATTATAACAAACGCAGCAGCGCTAATGCAGCATGCGACTTGTTCTAGATCTGACATTTTCACGACTGTTGGAAAACGTGTAGCGAACAAATAAACTATGAACAAACGTTTGTTGTCATGATAAAATGTTTGATAAATGTTCGGCAAACGTTTGACAAACAATGTTTTCCCAAATGTTTGTTATGTGTGGACACACCTTTAGAAACTATTCATCAGATATAAATGTGCAATACATTAAAATTTTCAGGAAAATGTTTACAGAATGACAATTTTACCATTTTACCAATTTTCCATAAATAATAAAGAAAAATAAATTAATTGAAATATAAATATTTGTAATCCTTTTCCCTGTGAATAATATAAAATAAAAACAGAATTTGATTATCTTTATTATCTCAGGAGGTATTTAAGGGGTATATCTGAGAGGAAAGCCTGTATGTTTACTTGTTAGAATCTAAGATTTAAGATTATAGCGCAATATTTTTCTTAGATGTCACTTTTTCAAGCAGTAAAAATCCTTAGTAGATATCATTGATTAGTAATTCATAGCTTGAGATACCTTCAATTTTATAAACATTTTTTAAAGTTTTCCCTCAAATTATAAACACTATATAGATATTATTTTCAATGCATATCATTATATATGTATATTTAAAATTTAAAAAAATACAAAAAATTAAAAATTATTTTTTTAAAACATATTTTTATTCACATTATAAATACTTTGGCACAAAATTATATACATTTTTAAAATGCGCTTTCATTCGTATGTTACCATAAGAATATTTTTTGTACCATATCATGTTTATGACCTGGTTATTTAATTGATTGCTATCATAAACAGGGTTTTAGACTTATAGCATTTGCTTATTTTTTTTTAATGTGCCATTAAATCTAGCTGAGTTCTGTGAATATTTATGCCACGTTATAAAGAATTCAAATATATAATTTGTTAGTTTTTTTATTTTGTAATGCTTTCTTTTTGCGGATTTCTTACTTTTTGATTATGCAAGTCAATGAAAATATTCTGGTCCCTCCACTATAATTGTTAACTAGTTTCATCTTACATTTTCAATTCTATTATCCAACTTTTAGTTTTAGTGCTATAAGTTCTGAACCTAAAATAAAATTATCATTAAAATATATTTGTTGGTAATATAATTAAATAATTATCAATTTGTTTTTAGATTTATTATGATATGTATGAAAAATCTAAGGAAAAATATGCTGCGGATATGGAAGAATACTCATTTAATAAATCTATTAATGCAGTACAGCCATCTAATTTATCAAATTCACAATAAGAAATACATGTCAATTGTATATTGTGTGTATAATATCTATAATATATTAATTACTAATGAAAAACGTGTGCACACATGTAAAAAATGTATTATAATAAAATGAGAATTATTTTTAAAAATTGTTTTTCATTTCTCTTAAAACTCGCATTGTTTCAATTGGATCACCAATGGTCTGTGTAAAGATTTGTACCTCCTTCTTTTTAACTCTCATGAATGGATTAATGAGTTTTTCCAAACCTATAGTTAAAACAAATTGTTATGTAACATCATAAATAGGCACTATGAACTACTATGTTTTACCAACAGTTGACGGAACACTTGGTTTCTTTATTTGTCGTTTGAATTCAGTGTTGTTCAATGCAGACAATATATTTTGGTTGGAAGGTTCAACAAACAAACCAAATTTTAAATTCTGAACAGCATATTCATGTCCACAAAACACTGACTGAAATAAATATAATTTAGAACTAGTATAGGCACATTTTAAATTAATATTAAATAATTCCTTTACTGTGCCATCGGGAAATTCTGATATTACGTTGATTAATGCGTCATACATTTGTTTAGCATTACCCTCAAAAAATCGACCACATCCTCCAAAGAATAATGTATCACCTGTAATAAAATACAAATTTTGATTCTGAAATAATATGTTTTTAGTATTATATTATTAAGGTATATTGTTAACACTTAAAATAATATAAAAGTATGTACAGAATCAAAATATAAATATACAGGACTTATAACTGGTAACATTAAAGGAAAATATAAGTTTATTTTGGATTGTAAAATAAAAATTAATTTTATGTAATCGTTACCTGTAAAACACGCCATGTCATTATCTTTTTTAATATAATAACAAACGTGGCCAGTGGTGTGACACGGAGTTCGAATACATTTAATACATAGTGACCCTAATTTGTAATCGGTTTCATGTGGTGTAATCATTTTAGTTAAACCATCGATACGATCATCACCTCCAATAACAGTCAATTCACCACCAGTATTGCTATTAAGTAGTTCTTTGTTACCACCTGCATGATCCCTAATAATATTTTCAAATAAAATATGAGTAATAAATAGTATAATAAATTAATAAGTAGTAACTATTTATTTAAAAGGTAGTCTCAAATGTAAATTAGATTCATTGTACTTTTTTTTAAAACTAGAAATTGATAAAAATGTAGTTTAATAAATGCCAAATTTTGATTTATACATTATTTTATAAATAAATTTACAGAGGATTACCTTAAAAATATTATTATAATAATTAAATGCATAAATAATGTTTAAATATTGAGAGCAAAGAATAATGCAAATAAAAGAGTAATAAATATTAGAACATGTTTTTTTAATTGGACAATTAAATTATCTATAAATTATTATTAAATACCAGTGATGGTGTGTAGTTAGAACAGTTGTTAATTTTACATTTTCTTTGCGAACTGCATCCCATACAACATTAGGCTCTACAGGGTCAACAATTGCTGCTTCTTTTGACTTTTTATCAATTATTAAGTACATATAATTGTCAGTTAGTGCTGGTAGAATAATTACTTTAAAATAATAAAATTCTTTAGTTATGATGATACTATGCATTGTAGTTGAATATCTGTGTACTAGAAAAAAATATATACAGTGTATGTGATTTAAAAAACACACTTCAGTTACAAATATACAAAATAATTATTTACCAGAATTCAAATTTTTAAAAACTGCCCTTGGTAATAATGATAATGTTTTGAACATAAATGAATTGTAATAATAAATAAAAAAAAAATACCTACTTATTGCAAATAAACGTAACTGGTTGGAACTAAACTAGGTACTATCCTTTTTGGCAAATGAGAACGCATAAGATCAAGCATCGTTATCAGAGGCGGAACCACCCACTCCAACCACAAAATTAGTAATTATAAGAGGACGTGCGCGAGTTTCGACCTATATTAGTCCCCCGCCTGATGCGTTCTTATTTGAAAAAAGTATAACCATGGCTAAATATACAGGCAAATACAATACTATAATAGCGTTTTCCACCCGACTGCACTGATGTACATTGTATGTTCCATATGGAATATTGGAGCACATTTAGTGCAGGTTTTTTATGTTTCACATGCGCGCACTCTACCAGTTTCTTACTCCGAGTGCAGTGATAATCGCGCCTTATCTCTTATTGATAAAGATGCTAATCTGGATGCTTGAATAATAATAATAAATTTAAATGATAATACAAATTTAAACTAATAAACTTTTTCTGGATAAAATAAATATTATAATATTTATACTTGATAACTGTAAAAAATTATGTTCCACATGATTCGACTGCACTGGACCGTTTTTCGGACAATATAACTTGCTCTAGGTGCAATCGGGTGAAAATGCTATAAATGATTTTGATAATGATAAGGTTTTGTTTAGAACAAGGTATAGTTATAAATACATCTCGGTTTAGAACCGGTGATATTGATAATCAACTTATTATTATATATTATCTGTGTTTGAAACTGTTGTCATTATCACTATGCTCCGTGACGTCACACTAATATGGTGTCTAATAGCCAAATTATTTAGTAGGTGAGTATTTAATAAATATTTGTCACGGTAATTAGTAGATTTAAATTTACTTACCAACCCTAGTTTATATTTCGGTTAGATGAATTATCACAAACCATTTACCATTTCGATTTCATTATAGGAGATTTGAGAAAATTATATTATTTAAAATTGTTATTTTTCCCTGTAGTCGTATTCTCGTATTATTTCGACAATCATCAACACAACAATCAGGCATATTTCAATATTTATATTTAGACATATAAATAAATGTTTGATTATTACTATAAATACAACAAAATATGAAAAATACATCCATACAAATAAATACAAATTATTGAAAGATTTTTATGGTTGGGAATTATAAATTTTTTAAATGGCTAAATAAAGTCATGGCTATAAATTCATCAAAATAAGCAAATAAAATGTTACAAAGTAAAATATTTTATTCAACGGGTAAACAATTACATAATATGTAAATATATAATACAAATTACAATAACATAGCAATTTAAATTTAATTTTGAATTTGATATTGAATATTGAAAAGATCTATTTTTGGCGGGAACCTAACTTACCTGTGGTAATGAGTCTAGAATTCAGTAAAACAGTAGAACACATCTGTATATATTTAGCCATGATATTACTGTTGTCCACGTCTGTGCCATTAACCTCACTTACAGTCAAAAATATAATTGCCAATCGTCATGTTTATTATCTAAACTCGATGTCCATTTAAAATTTGACGCTTCATAAATCTATAAAATCGGTCTAAGTAGTTGCCCCTCTTCTTAGCCTTAGCCCCACAAGAAGCCAAGAACCATAGATATAAGAGTCACATAGATAAGTAGGTATAATATTGGATAACAGCAACCATGGTTAGGTTTCCTACAACAGTGCTAGCAACTAACAACTTACGTACCTAGGTCAGTGGCGCAACCAAGGGGGTAGACTCCTGGTCAGACCGTTTAATTGCTGATTTGAAATTTTGAATTTTCTGTTTATAATTTATAAATTTAAATTTAAAAGTTTTAAAACATACCTTAAAAATACTAACTAGGAAAACAAATTAAATGGATCAGCTTTCCTCAGTATGCACAGCGATCTGTCGGTTATGACTAATTAAATTTAAGTTTATTAGCATCAGAAAAATAGCGGTTGGGTTTTTCACTGTGAATATTGATTAGGTATGGCATATTATATTAAGTACTTACCTACTTGAGGCAAATATAAAACTATACAAATAAAGAATTTCATTTTCTCATTTAATCATTTCCTACGATAATAATTGTACATCTGATTTGTGATTTTAGAAAGTATAGGTATAATTTATATGTATATGTATATTATGGAATCTAGGATTTTGTTACTGATGAATGGTATAATTATTTTAGGAAAATAGTATAGGTGCTCATTTTAGGAATTTAAGATGTACTATAATACATAGCATTACTTAGCAGGTATATTTAACCAAAGATTTTGTTACCTGTGAGTGGTATGATTACCCTAGAAAAGTCATAGGTATTTCCGTTACATAATTTTATGAATCAGATGTATCCTAGGATTTTTGAACTTATAGGGGTATGACGATCTTAAGGTAATCGTACTGTTGGAGGTATGATAATCCAGGGGTACGATTTTCCTGTTATTCCGGTTCAAATTGTATTTTAATATGAACAGAGATAATATAATAATATTCTTATGGAAACAGTGAGAGACTTTGTATAACTGCCATGAACTTGTAACTGATAAAATAAAAAGGTACCATGGGGGTCTATGTCCCCCTTGGCTACAGCACGGCACTGCGATTAGTTCGACGAGATTTTCTCAGTAGCCAATCCGGTTCTGTCAAGACGTAACGATCTTTCGCGGAATGCGTCCATTGGTACATTGGTTCGATGTGGACACCTTTGCAGCTTCGGAGATCCGTGATTACGCGGCCCTCGTTCAATTTTCGCCGGGCTTCGGTTGCGACTTGAGAGTGTCCAGCTTGTCCGCGTACCTATATTATAATAATTTATTGTGTAACGTTTCATTTCTCTTGGTGCCGTTGAGAGTTCGTAATTTTTTTCCGTTTTTCTACAGCCAAAATTTTATTAAATTAAAAAGTGTCGTCGCTAATATTATTATGCTGGTGTATTGGTGTTCTCCGTCTAGACCCAAGACCGAAAAGTTTCGATGTCAAATATACAACGCCATTAGAGCCTGTGACAGTAAGTACACAATTTTTTTACACCTCAAATTCCCGACCTCTACTCTTGTATTCCAATAAGGAATACACAAATTAAAAAAAAAAGTTCGCTTTTACGCAGGATCGTTCGCGTTCCCAACAGTGAGCGACAGAGCGTCATTGTGGTATTGCGAATTTGTGATGGCCACATGATAGCGATCACTGTAGGCAACAAACTTTTTTTTTTTTTCTAAATTTGAGTATATACTTAATGAAATACGATACTAATTGAATCTAACTAACAAAATCTAACAATTAAAATAAATATTAGGTATGCAGTAAGTGCCAGTGGTGGCACAAACAATTTTAATTCGTGGGACATTAACATATTTTTCAACCTACTTACCCCTGAAATACTGTTACCAACACAGAGTTTTTAACATTAATTACGTTATTATTATACCTATACGTTATCATTGGTGTCCAGACATTTTCATTCCGACGGTTTTCGGTGTAGTAGAACATCTTCTATTCAACTGTCTGTAAATATTAATATTAGTTAAGTACTTATTGTACAAACTGTATAAATTGTAATTTTAGATTTTGAGTGGAGCGAAGAAGCTTATGATTAATATGTTTTATTTTTTGATATGAGCGCAATTTTTCTACCAGAAGACTTGTTCGGATTTCTAAGTGTAGTATTTTTTCTGAAAGGAAATCGGCATGAAGAGGTACATTAAGGTGATTTTTCGATTTCCCCAAAATTTTTCACAGCAAATGTGAAAAACCCGGAAAAACGTAAGAAAACTGGGAAAATTGGTACAACATTAAACTAATTTTATTAAAGAAGATATGTTATTAAGCCTATTTAATTATTTTAATATAAAATGATATATATTGTTGACAAAGTATCAACTGAACTCCGAACAGAATAGTTTTTTCGTAAGCAATGGTTTATTGTTGCTATACATTTAATTCCTGTCTATATCCTACTTTCCCAACTTCCCACCTACACCAGTGGGTGCACCTGTCCCCATTATCTTAACTTTCTTTTTAAAAATAAAACTAGTGTCCTAAAAAAAAAATTATTACTTCTTTTTTTACTATTTTATATTTAATAATTGCTTGTGAATTTGATCTCAGGATTCTGGAGTCCACTAAACCACTACTAAACGCTTTGAATAATTTTAAGACAGTATTATAATAAAATTCACTAAATCACAATGGGTTTTTGTAAAATATTGTGATTATTATAAGCCATGTTATTTTTTTTTAAATAAATATAATATATATATATATTTATATTATAGTTTCCAAATGAAAATGTCAGAATCAAAAATGTATCAAGGGTAAAATGTCTGCAATTTGTTATCATTACCTATGTCTTTACATATAATCATATCAGATTACCAGCAGATACAAAATTATATTAGCATTACATTTAACTTTTTTTTTTATCAAGATAAATTAATGAATTAATATTTTTCTTTTCAATTTAAATTTTTGACATGATATTCATTAAACTATAGTAACCCATGGTACCTACTTTCTAACAACTTTTAATAGTTCTAAGAAATTGTTTAAAAAAATTATTGTATACAATAAAAATAATTAAAAAAAAATAAAATATTTAAATTTAATGTCTACATTTTTGAATTAATACAGTTTCATTATCACTTATTCTGCCATGCTAAAAATATCAACATTTTAATTAATCAAACAACTTCTCTAATTTCTGATGTTTGGTATGAAGTAGTTTTGAATTGAATCAGATATTTTTGGAATATAATCCATGACTTATACCAGTTTGTAGATGTTTAGAAAGTAAGTATGCGTAGTAAGTAGACGCATGAGTTTCCAAGTTTCTTTTCAAATGTTTCCAATTATTTAACCCTTTAATATGTCCATTAAATTTTTATCTAGTAGTTGTCCTAAAAGGATGTTGTCTAGGTTATGCCACCACTAGTAAGTGCAGTCTTGTAAGTTGTATAGTTGACCATGATATCAATAGAGGTAAATTATTTTAATACATCTGCAGGATTTATGTCAATTTTGCACCTAAATTGGTTTTTAAAAATTTATTTATTATTTTTCGATATTTATTTAAAACCCTTCCATTTTTTCATCTCATTTATAGATTAATAAGTATACAATTTTTAAATATTTAAACAACTTTTTTTAAACTCTGTTTCAGATTTGGCATGGTCAGTAGTAAGTCCAAACTGCAGTCACAGATGAGGTAAGATTTTTTTTTTATGGTATTTGTTAAAATTAAATCATTTAAACATTTTGATTCAAATAATGATCACGTGAACATCAATGATTAACACTTTTGGGTTTAACAAAGAAACTGATTATGTATATATGTGATTTGGTGCAAGTTGATGGTGGATACCTTAAATAATTTGGTAAAGAAAATTTTTGGATATTTATTAAAAAGGTTGCAAACTTAAGTCCAAATACAAAATATAAGTGCAATAATAAGAATATACAAAATAATTAAATAACTAAATATAACATAGAATTGAAAAAAAAAAACAGTAACAGTCACTTGCATGATGTATAAACATATTAACTGCCACACACTTTTTCCTATAAGACTAAACAGAGAGTGCTTTTTATTTTTAATATAAATAATATGAGGAGAAAACAGTAGTTGAGAATTAAAAAGAATATCAAGATTTTTAATTGATGAATACAAATTCTAATTAATTTGTATTAATTAGATTATAGCTAAAATATGAGTTGCATGTTTTTTTGAAAAAGTAAGTGTTAGACATTTGTTAATATTTAAAGTATTTGCTTGTTAAAACTTTCTGGGGATATTCAACGCCAGAAAATGAATTTGCTAGACAAATATTTTTAAATATTTTTTGCCTAAAAACATGCTTTACTGGGTTAACTCTCCTCTCTCATAGAGTAGATTGATATTCGATAATTTTTTTTTGTTGGAAAGATTTCAACCATGGGTGTAACATATAAATAAATAACTATATACATCACAGATACAATACAATGCAATAGTTGAATAGTCTCTGTTTTTAGAGAAAATGGATAAAAAAATAAACACACATCAATGTAAAATTTGCATATTTGTCGCTTTGTTCAAAATCTAAAAATGTGTGATAAGTGGGTAGTCTAACTTTCAGCAAACTAAATGTATTCTATTGTAATATTTTAATAGTGTAAATAATAGTAATAATAATAACTATAATGGTTTTCTTTCCCGTAATAACCAAGGTAATTTTTAAATAAACATAAATATATAAACAAGCAATTAGATATTCATACCAAATATACTTAAAAATCCCTATTTTACTTCTTAGGGGATGAATTTTCAAAATTCCTTTCTTAGCCGATGCCTACGTCATAATAGCTATCTGTGTGCCAAATATCAGCCCAATCCATTCAGTGGTTTGGACTAAACAATGATGAATCAGTGAGTCAGTCAGAACAGTTATTTTATATATATAGATTAGATAACCGAAATTCATTAATAATATACATCATTATTACTTTTAACAAATAAAGTATTTTATTTAAATTCTACATTTTAGATTAATTTTAAATGACCAGTAATTTTATCAATAACATCTGATCTATCTGGTCCAATACCTACAACAGTAGGTGTTCCTGATTTGACTTGAGTTGCACCAGCATCATTTATAATACAAGATAGTACTTTATGGGATTTTGCAATTTTTGACAATTCTAGAAGACCTTTTTCACCATTGGCTATACTAAGTACAATTTTTTTTTGACCAGTCATTTGCCACATTTTTGCGACTTGAGGTTTATATTCCACAGCAGCTTTATAACACTCAACAGAAGCATGTGAACACTGTGCAGCTATTTTACCTCTCGTCATTCCTAAATCACTTCTGACCACTAATACAAGTTTGTTGTCTAATGACAGTGTATTTAATGGTTTAGAAAACAATGGTCGAATATTACGATAACCATATGAAAATCCTGTGCCGATTAAAATGCCAGTCACTAAAGACGTAACAAATTCATAACTGAGATTATCAAACATTGTTTTTGTTTGCAAGTTTTTGATTTTTTTCAATACACTCTTTAAATTCTTTGACTTCAGTTTGACATTTCCTCCAGTCCTTAGTTGTTGCAATGCAGTCTTGGACTTTATAATGTAAATGTGCACAATTAGTTTTGTTTAATAATTCATCTAACAAATCTATGTCATCTTTTGCTTGATTAGACACTCCTTGGGAATGCATCTCAATATTTAAACTTGGCCTAAAATTAAAGATAAAATATTTATAAATATTATTAATAATAATTACTAATTCACAGCTATATTATCATAATTATAATTGTTTTTCTAGATTTATAAAAACATTATTTAAAGTAACCTAATGTGTATCATAGTTTTGCAATTTTATATTCAACATCATTGATATACAATTTGTCATGGTGGCTGACATTAACTTTATTTCCATAAAAGGTAACTAGGCAGCTATATAATAATTTAGATCTTATGTATTACAATCTATGGAAAAATAACTAGTGTGAATTTATGATTATAGTATTTTACATACAACATTAATATTACAGAAAATGTTAGATTTTAAATATGGTCTAAATCTTATGGAAAAATGATTCATAGTTTTTAGAATTCTAAACTAATTTTAGAATATTTTTATACCCCATGCGGTCTTTCATGTTGTTTCCTATATACAGCGGACTGCTCATTTGATTTTTTTAATAGTTAATTCTTATCTCCTATAAGTAAATAAATTAGTCAATTAAGAATATAAAGTCTATGACCAATATAAAGGTGTTATACAAATAATAAATACTAATTTATTATCGATTGCAATCATGGCGGTTATCTTGCTTATTAATTAATGTACCTAGGTATATAATAATAAAGTAATGAAGCCAAATCAATAAAGATAATCAATGTTTCATAAGATTGTGAAATATTTCAGAATATAGTGAAAAACTACAAATATTATTAAAGACAAGTAACCAATAACCAGTTTATGTATTATTATGTATTCTGTCTGGTATTTAATATAAATTCATATTAGCCATTAAAATCATATATCAAAATGACATTTAAAAAATTGACACCAAAATAGAAGTACTTTAAGAATTTACCTACAACAAATTAAATTAAAACCAAATTTATACTTTTTAAATTTTAAAATATCTGTTAGTACATACAACATAAAGTATAATGATATTTTCAATGATGTTAATAATTATCCTATTGCAAACTTATGTATCTTAATATTTAAAACTTACAATATAATTTGTAATTAATTTTTTTATTGACACGGTAATTTGATAATCTCATTCTTCAATGACTTTATTACTTGTAAAAGTGCTTACTGATTGGCGATGAATAGGATTTGAATATTATTAAACTACAGACAAAATCTGATAAATTAAAGTACTTACGTAAAACAATAGATTATTTAATGAGACTAAAAAATGGTAAATTATTTTTTTCGACTTTTTCTTACCAACACGGTTATATATACTATACAGTACTTATCTATAATCGGGTAGAGGACAGTAGGTTGTTCAAAAATGATAAGGACAAATAATGATAAGATAAATAATGACGGACCGAAAGCGTAATTTCTATACCTATAGGTATAGAAATAGGTATATTTTAAATTCGTAATATTTAATTGTAATATTGCGTTATCAAAGCGAATGGAGGAAATTAATAAAAAAAAAAACCTTCGATTTGTCACGCAAAACTACGGTAGGTAGTATTTTATTTTGTGTGTACCTACTATGTGCAGTATGTTGAAATGTTACCGGGTCTGGTTTCTGTTAACGATTCTTATCATTTTTAGTGACTACCACAGATTATTTAAAATATGTATATATAAACCACGATGTAGATAAAACCATCGACATTTTTTTTCACGATTGAACCGACAGAAGTGTGGCCTAGTGAGGCCGGTAAGGGACCTGTTTTTACAATACTTTCCCAATGCTGCTATTGTCTTTTGAAAAATTCTAGTTAATATACTTATTTTAGATCCTGTTTCTCATTTGCGGGTCAGGCTAACATGTGTAGGTAATTAACAAACTATATACCTTATAACTATAGAATATAGACAATACTAATAACGTTATAATGTTATCTATGACATTTATTTAGAGTTTAGATGGCATATTAGTTACATAATTATCCACCAGATAGCATTAGACGTTCGATTTTTTATAAAAAATGTTTCAAGGAGAAAATGTCTTTCACATAAAAACATAGTTTTGGTTTTAATCAAATAATGTGCGGGCGGTCTAGGACATTACTGCGTGAAAAATAATTTTTAAATTTTACTAATATAGGTACCGTTATTACCATTTTTTGTTCTTTTAAAATTTAACTTATAGGTAGTAAATTAATAATAGTCAAAATGATTGTAATACTTAAATTAAAATTATAATCGATATAAACATACCTAAATAAAATACACAAATTATTACTTTTATATTTGTTTTAATAAATTGTTCTCATAAACAGATTTATATTAGATTTTATGTTTTATATTTTGGTGACTGGAATGTCGTCTTCGTTAGCACGTTTGAACGTGGTTAGATTAGGTTAGCTCAATATAACAGCAATGTTCATAAGAACACGGACAATTAAAAGATTATATTTCACGCCGAGATGTCCATATGCCGAAATGGTCTTCACGTCGAAATGGCCACGCCATGGGGTACGATGTTCTGGCGCTGATGCCAAATTTGAAACCTCCTCCAGAGGCACCAGGGGTCCCGGCAAAATTCAAAAATGCCGGGGCAGCTAAAATAATAGCACTGGCATGTTTGTGGATTTTCAAAGTTTAGGAATTCTAGCAAATTCCTATCAAAAATTTTAATACTAGTTGTAAAATCCTAGCACAATATATACCAGTGAGGCGGTACTAACTTGACAGACATTGCAAATTTGCTATGTCGTTGCAGTACGTTATATTGTTATATTGTTTTCAATATAATGATAATGGTAGGTAGTAGTATCCTTACAGATGTATAACCTTTAAAACTTATTTACGTTCTCTTTTTAACGTACTTTTGTCGTTTGATC